GAGAAGAGAATGGAATCAAAAAGCTGACAGCTCGTTCGTGTATTCCGAGGTTTGACTCAACCATAAATCCAATAGAAGGGAAAAGACATGCAAGTCTTTGGTGACTTCAAGACGATTGGCCCAAAACACGCAAGAGATTCAACTTCCATAGGCTCACTGGAACAAGAAATGCTGTTTAACTGCGCCTTTCGTCACCACAGCTGATGAGAGCATTTTATTTGCTAAACCTCAATCTGAAAAAAATTTTCAAAGTGACATAACCACCCTGATGCGTTAGTCAGATAGTGTAATCAAGAAATATGGTGGGGTTAACACTGGAAAGAAACCACTGTGCACTGTCCATTTCTCCGAGTTCTTTCAGCAAAGAGGGAAATTAACAACGATGACAGACGTCTTCATCCTGCTGAGTGGACAACTTTTTCTTCCTGCTGCACTAGCCGAGTTCAGATTTGGAGCCAGTTTAACTCCTTTTGCATCGATGCGGATGGTGACACTGGAGTTACATTTAAAAAGTATAAAAGAATTGAATGATCCATCCGAACGTTTTTTTTCCTTACGGAACCAAGGCAATCGAAAGGCATTTTCCTCATTTCATCGATTTTATGTCTCTCGCTAAGTTTACATTGTTCTTACTTTTTTTTGGACAGTGATGCCTTGCAAAATAATTATGGTAGGACTGAGATGTCGAATGGCAGGAATTGTGACAGAATTGAATAATAAAGGAAGCCATGACATCTGCCCTTTTTACGGTATTGAGTGGAATGGACTGTAACTCACGAGAGGCAAGCATGACACAACTCTAACTGCAATCTTCCTTGATGCAGATGGATTAGAGTCCTTCTACATCCCTCCCATATGTAATTACCTCATCAAGCCGTTAAAGAAGTTTTTATCATTGGATGGTCTGATGGAACAAACCAAGGATGTCTTATGGGAGACCTCCCGCTATGGATACCACTGAGGGATAGAGTCTCAACCATCTTTAGTCGTGTGTGTTTGCGTATGTGCGCGCGTGTGTGCGCGGGGGGGGGGGGGGGGGGTAATAACACACTGAAACGAATGTACCCAATGGAATGAAGTCCTCAATGCTCATGCCGATTGCCACAGTCAGAATTATGAGCGATAATTTGGAGAGTTTTTCGACGATTGCGACACGATGAGAATGGATCCCTCAAAGGTATTCAGCATCGACGTCACTATGATCTCTGGGGAAAGAAACGGTACACCTATGTACAGTAGGTCCCCTACTGCTGCCTGGGCGATGGTCTCAAGTGTGATCCGCGACTATGGAGCTTTCTCCCTGACCTGCAACTCCTCTATTACAGTGAAGGCTAAAACCTTGTCGAATTCTCAGTGATACTGCTTCTCTTGTTTTTCTTGAGACACATGAATTTTTCCTGTCCGGATATGTGGCAAAAAAAAGGTGGGGGAGGGGGTATCGAAAACGACGCCCCGTATGACTTCTGAGACAGCAAACAACAGAGGCCTCTCGCATCATCCCAGTCATCGGATTCTCTGAAGAGGATTCCCCTTCATTATGAAATCACTTGCATTGATCCGGGCGATATCGGAATGCGGCGGGTCAAAGGTGCACGGCAGCGGCCTTGGAAAGACAGAGAGAAAAAGAAAAAAAAGATAAAGAGAATGTGACGGTCACTCCCTGCTGAGTCACCTGCAATGAGGGGGGGTCAATTAAAATGACATTTCAATAAGATTATACCTCGTACCCGGAGGTCAAACCACAATGAGGAGACACCGGACACCGTTTTGCAATATCCCACGGGGATTCCAACGGGACTCTTCGATTGCTTAACATTTTTTAGGACAAACATCTTTCAAGCCCCAAAAAAATCCATTCTTTATACCTTCAACTCCAATTATCGCATACAACTATAGACAACAAAGCCAACAACGAATTCGGCTACAAAACCAACATCAAACAGGCTCTGGTTTGAGTAATTAAAACATCCGAACATATTTGCCCATGAAATATGCTGCCCTCCAAAAGTCCTGCAACAGTCTCTCGCGATTAAAATTCTCAGCATCTGCTGAACCAGCTGGGAATGTGGTTTTATCGCAGGGTGTCTTATCCTCTTATCTGCATAAACCCACCTCTATTGTCATGAAGTGCATCACTTGACGAAATTCGTTTTAGAAACCATCTGGTTCAACCCTTTCAGAATGGAACAAGGCACGACTCCGTCCCCACAAGTTGTAGGCAAGCCTGAATATCTTCATTATCTAATACTTATCCTCGTATGCCCTTGAAGCAATTCACGGACCATATAATTTTTAATTTGACGATGGGTGGCTGAGTAGACATTAATCTATTAATTTTCGCTTAAAATGGAATTTAAATGCTGCCAACGATAAAAGACCAGAGTAGAAGGCCTCTGGTGGGCGAACTGCAGCGTCTGAGAATACCCGATGATATACGTCTTTCATTGAAGGTGCATGGAGAAGACCAAACTCCTTGCATGGCATGCAAGATAACTAAACTTGCGAACATTCGCTACGGGGGCCGGCCCATCATTCCATGTGATACTATGGGTGCTGAGAACTCTGATCGCGAAAAAGCATTGCAAGACTTTTGAAGGGCAGTACATGTTCGAATCATGAATGAAATCTAGCACTCAAGTCAATACAAGGTTTTTGGGAGCTTCTGACGTTTCATCAAATTGTGTCTCACGAGAACAATTACCATAGAGAACTAGAGGAAATAAACAATAGTGGGCAAGCAAAATAAACAAAAAATCAACAAGCATAAATCAACATAAATTCTGTAATTCCAGTCATATAATCTTTAAAAACATAAAACACAATTTGACCAGGAAAACATATTTTAAAACATGGGAAAAACAGCAAATAATTATTTTTCAAAAATCAACTTAAAAGAAAATTCAACATCAAAAATCGACTTAAGCATAAACTCAATAAAAGCTATTGTAGCAACAAAGGTTTTTAAAGGATGGGTGGCCATAAGGGGGTTTGGGCCCCCTTTCCAAAATATACAATTTTGTGATGATTGCTCTGCTGCTGTAAGCTAGGAAAGAGGGGTGCCAAGTTCAGTTAAGCAAAAATTGGAGAATACAGGATGGTCCATAAATAGGTTTCCCTTAAGGAGGCAACAGCATATTTTGCTTAAAGTCAGAACTCTTCCGCCACTGCCCTTCATACTAATTGTGACGGTAATCATGTCCCCCAGCTGCCACACTATTCAAACTTGAGCGCTGTTACGATTATGGTATTCTACATCTGCAGTGTATAACTAAAATATAACAAATGAGATTTCTGGGCTGCAAAACGAGAAAATGGCAAGTGAGATGAGCATCACAAAAAAGCTATACTCTGTTAGACAGAGCTAGAGGAGCTCAGTTTATCAGCACGATTACTAAACGTAATTAAATAATTTTGCATCATCCATTAGCATGATTAAAAAAATAACTTTTTCCTCGTGCCCAAAAATTCTGTAAAATTAGGACAGAAAGCACATTTTCTCAGTAGCAAAAAACACGTGCACATTTTAAGGATGAATAGCTCTCATCAACATTTAAAATCGTATGTCTCCATTGATTAAAAGAAATTAAAACGTGAGGCGTGTCTTTGTTCTACAACACTTCATGTCTTAATTTTTTCTGATGTACAGGGTGTCCATAGAATGACTACCGATGGGCAACTTTTTTTTATACTGAATCTGGGGAACCCCTTTTTATTTTGCAGCCTGTTTATCGATAGGTCTCGGAATTGTGTCACATCTTTTGTTCCTTCGTAACTGATCTGACGTGACTGAGAATTAATTTTCCAAACTCTTGTTTCTATTACTTGTTGAAAAAAATTGGACTACAGCATTTCGAAACGAGTGAGAGAAAGGCATTTTTTGCAAGGACAAGCCCACATATTTAAACAACTCAATAGAGAATATCTCGCGTGCTATGTGCCAGATACCTCGTAAGTGAGGGAATTCTCACAGATGTTGGCGACGATGCGATTGCCAGGGCTCAGAAATTTCAGGTAATCGGTGGTCGACACTTTGAACCATTTTGTCAAGTAAACTCTTAATTTTTATGATTTTGAATTCCCAAAAATACTCCATTATTCAATAAATACCGTGATGATTGCTAGAAGTTGGTGCAATAAGATTAAAAGTACTTTTTTTTAAATTTGGTTTTCATTTATTTTCAATTCAAAAGAATAAAAAATCCTGAAACGTAATATCTGGGAAATGAATTCTCGGCCATGTCAGAGTGATAGGAGGAAAAATCTGACACTACTCCGAAGTTGGCACGTTTTCAGTCCACAAATATTTTTAAACTGGCTGCTTCAGTGTCAATAATAAAAAATTTGCCCGCAGGTACTCACTTTATGGACGCCCTGTAGATATAAGCTCTGTATTCCAACAACCAATGTAATTTGCCACAATTACAACTGTTTACTTAATGCCGTGTTAATAATGTTGCGAGATGAGGCTCCTCCAGTTCTATTCAACCCTGCGCAATTTTCTCAGGTTTTGTTCCTCCCATTTATCATTCTCTCCTGTTGTAACTCAGAAATCTTCAAAATATTAACTTATGTGTGGAGAGAAAACAAAAAATTGCGGTAGCACTTGAGCATCACTTGATATAAAGTTGTTGGTCGGTGAGGAGCAATGCTTCGAGAGATTTTTCGAAGTTAACACCATTGTGGTACCAGATGGCTCAACATATGAATCAGCTATGGGAACTCTTGAATTTCTCCCAAATAGAAGTCATTTTCGAAAAAAAGAGTACTATTTGCACGTCACAACACCTTTGAGGCTGAGTACCTGGGAACTGGTCAGTCATTACATATAAATTAGATATGTGGAGGATAATTTTCTGCCGGAAACGCTCTTTTTCAGTACTACTAATTTCTTCTACATCAGGGGGTCAATCCCTCTTCCCCCTTATGCGTACCCATCCTTTACAGTAAATATCAATTGGAGAGAATGAATAAGATAGGAATCTCCTGTGCAAGGAGGGAGATCACACTTCGTTGTAGGTGGGATGCCCGGGAGGCAAGGATTCTTGGATCCGAAGAGACTCGAAACCCCCGGGAGGCAATGAGCCTGGGACCAGGAGAGATCCGAAACCCCCAGGCTCCATGGCCATAGACTGGAACACGTCCCGGTTCCGTTCGTAGTAATCGGATGACTTGGGGCAATCCACACCAAACCACCAGTCGCAGACGAACAACCGTTGGTTGAACACCGTTCCGTTCGGACAGAGGAACGAGTCCATTCGTCCGTCATTGTGGCACAAGTGGAACGCCTGCGAATCGTTGACAACGAAATTTTAAAAAATAAAGCGATTGAGGCGAAGGAAAAATTAAGGCTCATCATGCCTTCCCAGACATTGTGATGACCATGAAATTAATGAAGAAAGTAATTGATGGGGGAGTCATGACTACTAAATTAGGTGACTACTAAAAATGAGCTGCAAGCATCTCAGTTCAAAATATAGGCCTACATATGGGCTTCCGATCACCAATGAATATATTTTTAAAAAGTGCATAAAGATTTCAGCATGGAGAATTCAAAATGTGGATGCTCAACTGGAAAGTTTCAGTTTCAAGATACTATATTATGAAGCAGGAATAAAATATATTAAAAATAAAAAACGTTTCAAAACACAATTATGTTTGCATGTCGGATGTAAGTAAAAAACAAAATGACTATGACGATATCAGAGTGGAACCAATTTTCCAAAGAAAGCTAAGACACCCCCAAGCTATCAGAAAATTATCATATCTGTCTTACGGGGGGAAAAGTAAAGATATAATTAATTGCAGGTTGACTTTCTTCTAAAATTTATATATACATTTGGTACAACTCACGTCAGAAACTAAGTGGAAGGCCAGGAGTTTCTTCTCATTCCTGCTCTACCTATTTAGTATGAGAGTATAGATACCTTTACCTGAAAAAAAAGATTTTATGCATCATTTTCTCCGCACTAAATTTTCCGCGTTTAGCTGCAAACTCTCTAAAAAGCTCATGAACGACTCCAAAAGAAGGAGTAATGAAGAAAGGAGTGAGAGATGGTCTTATCAACTATGGAGAGGGAAAGTGGAATTTTGCACGACATTCAGGCTTTCTTTCGGACATGGGTGAGAGGAAATGGTCTTTTCTCTTTATTTAACCTCCTTTCTATTTAAAATAAATGAGCCTCCTTATGCAATCATCCCGATGTCTGTCTGTGGGCCAGTGCGAAAATTTATTCGACGGTTTCGAATCCTATTGCATCAACTGTCGCCTAAATTGATCACAACTCATAAATGTGACGATTTTGACACCTGTTAGTTAAGATGAAATTGATATTCTTAAACTTCCTGCAGGAGTTTAGAGGTAGTCAGACCAACAGTGGCGTAGCTAAGGGGAAAGAGGAGGGGGGGGGGGAACCAAGGTATCTATAATCTGGGTTCTGTTACCTTTAGTGAAAAGACGTGCATTTCTCATGTATTTTGCTGAAAGAGTGAGAAAGGTTGCCTATTTGGGGAAATCACGTCAGTGGGGTTCTAAAAATATTAATACATTTTTAGAACCCCACTTTATATATATTTTCTAAGCAGCTCCATACCCTTTTTTCCGATTCGAATCTAAAATCATATATTTTAGTTTACCCAGTGGTGAATAAATACACCTGCGCGCGGGGCCTGGACTCAGGACTCCCGTTGAGCGGGAGCCAGGGCGGGGAAAAACCAGCCATAAGGAACAGCACGTGTTTTTTTATGTCTTGTCTTATGGCTTCCCTTGGTACTCAATCGTTCAGCGGTCTCCCGTCCCCTTTCCTTTGCTTGTTGTGATTCGAGGGAGAGGTGTGCCCTGAACATGCAATGCCCAGGACTGATAAAATACAGGGTGTCTCGAAAAAAGGAAGTTAATTCTGCAAGATTCGAGTTTTTATGTACAGGGTGTTCCGAAAGCCCATGACCCACCCACACAAAATTTGGGTAAACGCTCTGCCAGCTACGGTGAAAACATCCTGTCCAACTGTACGGGCAACACGAAGATGCGAGCAATCTGTCCAGGCCAAGAAAACACGGTTTGATGCAGGATGGATCCCAATACCGCACGACTGGCCCCACGTTTCGCTCCATCGAAGATATTGGGGTTCAGATCCAAATGAAGTCGACCGAGGAACCGTCCGGGCCTCGATAATCCGAACACCTGTGGTACAGGTTGCAACAGAGTGTTCTGCGTCTGCCCCATCCCATAAATCGGGCGTCAGTCAATATCAGGGTTCTAAGTGGTGCGATAAACCAACACGACGAATATAATTTGCGATTCGTTGAGAGCTTCGTTGATCCGAGGTTTCTGCAGGCCGGCGGAAGTCATACCAGTTATTGATGCAGGAGTTCGTTCCTGGAGTGTTCCTGGCCATGCGGAATGGGATTAAGTCCATATATTTCCCTCGGTTTCGTATCCATCTTTATTTTGGTGGGTCAGAAACTTTTGGTACACCCTGAATAACCCTGAACGATTCGCCTAGAAATTAAAAAGACAAGAGACAAAGTTCTCATATGCTAGAGACCGCATGGAAATGGATCGATTCTGAATCTAGATGTGAGAGAATGATAATTAGGCTCAAATAAATTGACTCACTATCACTGCCACTAAAGGACGTGTTGAAGATGAGTTCCTCCACGATCCCGCCACACACTTTCAGACGCTTTACAAGTTTCTCAACGACTGACTAAGGGCTATTGAGAACGGGTCCCTGACCCAATAAGGAAGCACTTGTTCCGTTGGGACTAAGTTCAAAACTTGGGTTAACCGGGATTTGGAAAATTGAGAAACTGGTTAGAGTGGTTTCGATGTCATGGCGCCCACTTATGATGGTCTTCGCGAAAAGGACGGGACTGCCATCGCGACGTCATGGCTCATTAAAACCAGCTCGATTGAAATTCCTTGGCGGGCTATGGGGGCCCTACCCTAACCGAAAATTGAGCTAGAGGGAAAATGTTTTTTAAATGTCCCATAGGGTCTCCTCGCCCCTCAACCTCATGTGTACTTCGCATTGTCAGGACTCATGTGTGCCACGTTGAGAGAGTGGGCCGAATGCGAGGGGAGCCGATCCCCTTCTGGCTCTTCTTTCCCTCCCTTCCTAAAAGGGAAAGGAAGCACTTCCAAGTGCCATAATTCCCACACAGATTTCTCATCTGCCCGAGGGGCGCACTTCCCTTTTCCTCTCAACTTCTATCGCCTTATTCCTCATTTTCTATTTTCCATCGTTTCTTTAAAAATGTCTGTGTGGTTATGCTCCATCTTAAATCGTATACCGATTTTATAAAATTGTATTATTGAGCGAGTTTGGAGCATATCTTTCCGATTATGTTTCATCGTTCTCTTCGAGAGTTGCTATCTGATACTAGCAAGTGGGATTTCACGCAAAACGTAATCATCGCCTCTCATTTTGAAGACTCACTCAGATCGAACTCATGGAGACAGGGCCAGGGTCATAAAACCGGTCTACACGTTTCTAAAAGTCTAAATTTATCCCCTCTTCCTTCTTTCTCAAGTCATGTCCTGGCCACAATAATGAATTCGGATAGTCTACCAATTTTTCATTTTCGTATCATTCCATGTTATAATAATGCGGGCTCTTGCTTCTGACTTCTTTGTTTTAGGAACCAAAATGGCTGATTGAATTTCTGAAAATTGATTTTCTGAAGTGCATCAGAAATTGTGTATGTTCGAGAGCGAGGGGATTTATAGAAATCGATCCGCGAAAGTATGGTTGAACTAGATTATAACGTCATTGAAGGAACCAGGAAAAAATCGTCGTTTTTTGCAGAAGTTCATCATAATCGAGGTTGTAATTTCCCATACTGTGCAAAGAAATAAGCTCGGAACTCATGTTCGAAATGAACTCATGTTCACGACTGAATACTTCCCTCATTTTCTGTCATGTCAGTCTCTACTCCATCGTGAAGGCTTGCCTTTTTCTCTTTTAACAATTCCGGTGCCAACTGTTTGCTATGAATAGCGAATAAAGATTATGATAAGATTTCTCGCTGGCTGGATATTTTCACTCCCTCCATCCTCACGCGAGAGGCCCTCATGGAATGCATATTCCAAAAGAAAAAAAAAAACCCTTGGAGGTTTTAAATTATAATTTTGCCAGATAATGGAATTTTCAGCTATTGCGGAGCGTAACGACGAAATGAATGACTTCACAACGTGATCAATGTTGTCAATGGGACAAAAGTTGACTTCTCTATAACCGAGCTAGCAGACGAAAGGTAGTCCCGCCTCATAAGCAACGCTTGCTTTACAAGGGCTTAGGACACGGATGTTACTTCTTCACATCTTTTTCCATTCAGTGGCGGATCCAGGAATTTTATTTTGGGTTGACGCTCAGGATTTGGATAGACTAAATATAAGGCTTGTGGCTCCCGTCATTTCCTCGGAGTTAAAAGCGCCTGAGAAAAGACGGATGAATCGAAAATTTGATACGCGCTCCTTCCCTTCTTTTTCTGTCCCTCATTACTTTGCTTGTACTACCTATTCCAGTGGGGGGGGCTCGCTATTGGACTGGGCTTTTTGCTCTTCTCGCTTTAATCTTTATCGTTGGCGAGAGGAAGAGGGAACAGGGATCGCGCTACCTGCACTGATTTTTCTCGTTCGGCAAGAGCAATCATGACGCTTACTGTTTAGGCTTGCAAGCGGGCAGATTTGTTGATGCGAGACAGAGGGCTGTGCTGCGCTAAAGATATATGCGAACTTTTGCTCGTTACTTTTTGAATGAGGGATATACATTTGTGAAGTCAGCGATGGGTATGGACCGATGAGGAACAACCAGCCGGCACTCACATGCCCGACGCAAGCCATCATCATCAGTCGGAGGAGGATATTATGTCAAGGACAGTAGATACTTCGTAACTCGGCAGTCGTGAAATCTTGCATGTGAAATCTTTGCAGCCTCGAGATAAGAGTAGAGAAGTTTTTATTTTGAGATGAAAGTCATCGGGCATAGTTTTTGCAATATAGAGAAAGACTGTCATCCTACCAAATTTGGGCAATCTGTTGAAAAGACAAGCTGTAAACAGTTTCGACTGCTGACCCATAAAAATCAGAAATAGCTCTCTCTTTCCTCCGTGTTTCACGTGGGGCTGCTCCTGTGTTTTATAAGGTACACTGTTGACACAGAATATTCCGCAGAGAGTGTGTCTGTGTCCGCCTGTTTAACTGGACGGGGGAAGGGCAAGACGAATCGTGCACGGAGGAAGCAGCCATGTTTCACACCCTGACGCTCCGGCCCACTCGATACAGCTGGAGAAAAGCTCTCACTTGGAATCCTTTGCAATGTTCGTGAAACCACTTGGGCATCTTGAATAAGAGATCATATCAATATTCTGACCATACCTCGTATGGTTTTTTGTCAGCAGAAATTTAAAGTTGGATTTTCTTTTGAGCCTTCAGGGTGTATCCACACTTAATAAAAACGGTTTTTATCCCCAAAAGGGTGTTTCAACTGCAACTCATATTTATTCTTTGCGGGTTACATATTTAGCCTTTTTGATAGGTTAAATTAAAAAAAATCATTTTTAAAAGTAAACCCACCTGGTTTAATGAGTAACCTTCCTAGTGAATATGTAATCATGAAAGTGAGAGGATTTACTCGATCTCCATTGAGTGGCCTGAAAGTCAGACCTCAATTTAACCATCCAGTCTTATCTAGTTAATGTAAGGGCTAGTGTTTGTGAAGACAAGCTTCCTTTGGTCTAAGAACCAGGATTCTGACTCGAATATGGGAATAATAAATGAGGAAGTGTCCACTTTCATTAATGCCTATGATGAGCCAAGGCGAGGCACAGGACGAGGTGACATATCGTACCTGTGAGGGAAATTCCTGGGAAAGAGGGAATGACTATTCTATGTACTGTGGGAAACGGTAGCTCCATAACTCTATCTAATGGTCTAATGGGGAACTTTACATTGCACAAATAACCCTTGAAAATGGTGCTTCATTGTCATCTATACGCTTTTAACTGTTTAACCCTGAAAAGGTTAAAACTTGAACTCTGTTTGGACTTGAACATCCGATTCCTACGAAGAACTATCTCATTGGGATAAATATACAGCCTCAAAAAGGATATGTGTTTATCCCTTTCCTTGTATATAACCCACTCGTGCTTATACCCCACTCAAAGTGTTGAATATCATACCCTTCAGATCGAAAGGGATAAAAGAAATTCAGAGGAAGTTCAATAAACACATAAATAACCCTTTGAGAGAGTGTGATACCGGAATTTAACCTTTCTTTTCCATTAAACCCCCAAAATATATACCCTGTACCCTTCTTGCTAACTGTGTAAGGCAGGGTCGTTGGGAGGGGGGCGCATGGTTGAAGTAACTGCTACTGTAAGAGATAAATGGCGGGAAGAAAGGAAAAATGGTTTATTTGAAAAATTCTCCGATATAGTTGATTATTGGCCTGATACGCAGGGACCCTATTTTCATTCGTTGAAGATAGTCGTTCGAGGGTTTTATGAAAATGAGAAACTGGCTCATCTTGAGGGTGGGTCATGAGTCCCATGTCGTTTAGAGCATATGCACATATAAGATCAATGACAGTCGAACAACCTGATACTCATGGCCCACCCTGTACATGTACTACTTTCCCTCGCTTTTAACACTTAAATATTAACTTTTTCCTTTGGAGTTGGAGAAATGATTTATTTTTTGTTCATAGAAAGACCATTTTCCTTTCAGTGCTTCATATATGTAACCTCAGATGGGATACATATTTATACCTGTTCTCATGGATACTCATTTATCCACGCACAAGATTCTTAAAACCCTCCTAGTTATGTGTGTAACCCTCTCAATCGAAAAGGATATTAAGAATTAATCGCATTGAAGATAAACACCCAATTAACTCCTTTAAATGGTGATTCACAGCCATCTAACCTTTTTTTTTTACTATTTATCCTTCAAAAGGTTAAACCCAGAATCCTTTCTGTTAACAGTGCAGCAAATTTCATCCGTAACGGTCCATTCTTCTGGATAACTGCGCGTACATCTTTTTCTTCGTCTGACTACCGAAATTAAAGACTGATGTGGAGACAAAGCCAGTAAATCTTTTGCGAGGAATGAGGCAACGATGCCGTGTCCTGCCTTTTGTGGTTCTCAAAAATCAATTCATTATGAAAGAAAAACACCCTCGTAGCGAAAAAAAACTGCACTGATTTCCGCAAAAGAGGAACCGTTGGACTCTTCTTGCTTGAACAATGTGCCTTCTGGGATTTCAGGCCCTGAAGTTGTACAGAAAGTACTAAAAAAAAAAGCTTAGAATACAAAATACACCAATATAGAGCAAAAACGAATGGAGAGATTTCGGCTAATGAGGTGCCGATGGAACGCTTCGTTCTGGAAATAATCTTCTGAGTATCTTTAGTATTTCTATACTACTGCTTGGTACTGAAGCACTTAACATTTTTAACGATTTTTATTTCTCCATTCATATTTAAGCACAAAAAATGATGGAGAAATAAACTGGTGGTCTCACGACGTGATTGTAAATGTGATTAAGTGAAGCCCTTCTTTAGTGAAAGGAGGCTGAGAACTGGATCGGGCTTCCCGAGCTTCTGTTTTACAAAGGGGAACCAGACTAATCGTCCGTCGAGTACTCGTCATTGCCGCAAACCATTAAAGTCTCAAATGAACGACTATACCGATGTTTCCTCAAGATACACCGTCTAGGATATCCCATGTATCCAGGGGTCTCCTTTTCCTCGTTCCACAGCCAGGGGCATGAAGTGAGAGTGGACTCCGTTAGCTATTATGCCATTATGCCTCATTTGCCATCCCTGATTACTCCCAACTATCCCTCATGCTTGACAGGCGCTGAGCTGCGGGCGCCTTTTTCCCTTTTTTTTTTTTTTTTACTTCCATTCACTTCGTCAAATATCATTTCCCATAAGAAATTCCTACGATGCTTACTGGCTCCGGGTGGGAAATGCTTAAAAATGAACAGAACTGTAAAAAATGGGAAATTCGTCTTAGTCGTCTCAGTAAAAATCCAAGGTCTTCCTCATCGATGCAAACTTCGATCTCCGAATATATACTGTACATATTTTTTGTGCTTCCATAAATGACAAAAGCATAATCCGATAAAACAAAATCTCTGAAATCAGTGGAATATAATTTAAGTTTTCACATGGATTGCGAGAATTGCGATAGAGTAATCATTTGATGAATGAAAGAATTGTAAGAAAATAATAATTCAAGAAAAATGTAATTGGTTGGGCACATATCTTAATCTCCCTCCAGGAAAAAATTGCCCAAAATTAATCTTGTTTTCTTGCCAGATGAAAAATTAATCTCTGATGATGGAGACAGCAATCATCCTGAAAATAGGCGAAGGAAGGATGATCGGTTAAGCTTCTGACATATGAGAGAGCCATTACGCTCTTGCTTTTCATATCAGATGGCAGCTCGTTAGATTGGAATTTGGGGACCAATTCTAACATGAAAAACCGAACTCTCATTTTCGATCCCTGGTCATCCCAGGACGGAAGCGAAGGATGCAAGTCGTTAAGGCCATCACGTCGGAAAATTTCCTCCTCCGGGGCATATGTACAAATGCTCGTGGGGATCGTATCCCAACCATGTACTGAATGCTTCTGAATAGGGGCCATAGAAACGCGATTATCTTCGGATACCACCTGGATGTACAGAGCCATACAAATTCGATGCTATGGATGCAAATTCGATTACGTGCTCATTTACGGGAATGTCGCAAAGCCCATTTTCTGCCGGCGAGGACTTTGGCAACGCCGACAGAACATTTCCGTTCAAATAAATATATATATGTCATAAGAAGTTCAAAGGTCTTCGGTCATCAACGCTGAAGTATTCGAATACATCTGTATACAGAGGTGAACAATGGAGGGCTGACATGACAGAAATTGCCGAAATATATACCTGGAAAATACTCACAAAGAGTGGTATAACGTTACGATCTTGGTCAGGATGAGTCAGCATGCCTAAATTTGCTGAAACTAAAGGTATAGTTCACTAGTTTATGTTTTTAGCTGTTTCTAAAAGTATACTATTTACATCATTACAGAATCAAATTGTAATATTCTCGAAACACTGGAAAAAACCCCTGATGATCACATTAAAGTTTTACATGTACTGCACGATATGCATTTACTTTGATATCAGTAATAAATACAGAAATTTTCAGATAAATAAATCCATGCAATCGCGATTAGCAGTAGAATGGTACAAGAGGTGTCAATCAAGAGAGAAAAAATAATTTTTTTTAGCGGTCATAATACTAATGTTCCCTCCAAGAATTTCCCTTTGTCGAAGTTTTGAATTGGAATACTAGGAGCATTCGAGCGATTCATCGCATTCTATTTAACTTTGATTCTCGTGTCACCGACACTGACTCCCTTTTAATTGGTCACTAAATTGACCCTTGTAAGTCTAGAATATTCCCATCAGAGGCTTGAAAGGTCATCTGTTGAATGGAATTTGGAAGACCTTTAGTACACTTCATGGTTTGCCAGTACCGATGGTATTCATCCAGCAATTTTCAGATCGGCAACCTTGTGAAAATTTCACGTTTTTTTGACTACTCAGAAAGGCCCAGCGAATCGGGAGTTGATAAAACAAGTCAGAAGAAATACCTCCAGGGGGTGTAGGTAGTATTGTGTCAGCATGAGAACATCATCGAGTCCACGTAAAATTTACATTCGACTAAGTGTCAATGCCAGCTAATTAGACTTTGCAGCTAAAGACCAGCAACAACTCAAGGAATAAATTTGTAAAACAAATATGTTTTGTTCTTTAAAGGAAGGTATTCGATGTCTCATGCTGATTGGTGAATGGAGGTAAAATATTGACGCTCTCCGCAACGTTTCTTTTACAAGCGCTTGACCATTTATGTCAGCTGTAAACCCTCAATTCCTTCGATTTTATGGAAAACCTCAGAAGTAGCATAAAATAAAGAATACTGAGGGAGGTCATATGCAATATCATGAGCCATCTCAATCTTCCTGCATCCAGTCGTTAGAAATAATTCAGATGAGAAGGAAGCTTTACATCGACTGACCTGACATCCGGCCTCTCCATCGGCGTAATAGCCGGGAAACTTGTCCCTGCAGGTGAAGGACGTTAAGGGGACGAAGGAAAACGTCGGGTAGTCCCCACCCGGTTGCCCGGGAACGCCCTCGATCTCATCGAAACGGAAGACCGGAATCTCCTGCAACATCTCCCTCCACTCCTTCATCACCTTCCGCCTCTTCTCCTTCCCTTTTTTCAGCGACTTCAAAATGTCCTCCAGGTCGGGTCTCGAGAAAGGAGACATTTTTCGCTTCGGAGGGATAGGGGTCGCAGATTCTATCACCCTCAACGGTGATCGAATGGTCGAGGTGTAGATGTCGTTCTCGTTCAACAGTTGGTCAGGATGTGGAGGTGGAACAGAGGGTGGCACCTTGGTTGCCGTCATCGCATCCGACAAGGTTAAGGAGTAATCCGGTGGTCGCTGGAAGATGAACATAGGGTCAAAGGGTGGTGGGGCAAGGGTACTCGATGGAAGTCGGAGGTCATTCGAGGTCAGATGAGAGATCGGTTCCGGGAAGGCTGCCTTGGTGGAGATAAGGTAAGTCCTTGGGGCTGGAGTCGTCGAGGAGAACCTCTGGTCGTCTTTGTGTCGAAGTCTTGCCTGGATGGGATCGATGAGATCATCGTTCCGAGGGCGATCAGGAGGAGTCAAGTTCAAACGGTTGAGTGGTCGAGGGGTGGTCGTCGCCTGCTGGTATGACAATGATTCCACGTACCGAGGAGGGATCCGCAGCTTTTCCGAGATCTCTTCCCACGCTTTGTGGGACTCTGGATGAGGACGTCGTCGTCGTCCATCCTTATCCAGTGCATTCAGGAAGTGCTGTCGGGCCAGTGACGTATTTGGAGGCAGAGTGGTTGTGGTCGGTGGAAAATAAACCAGGTTCTTGGGTCGTCGCTCAGGTTCCTCGTACATGCGAAAGTGCATCTTCGGGCGAGACATGAGAGGTTGAACATGGATGATCGGCGGAGGTGACGGCGGGTGTCCTGGTTCGAAAAATGGACCTGGAGTGATCGCCAAGATAGTTGAGGGAGTGGACATTTGGATAGGAGTGGGGAGAATCCGAGAAGGTTCGTAGGGACTTGAATGAGGCGTCGTTGCCTGAAATACTGAGTCCAGAACAGGTCTAGGTGTGGTATGATGAAAGAGGCGAGGCGCAGACGTCATGGGGTGATAAAAGGGGGGATAGGGAAAATGCAGGAACATGGGAGGAGGAGGAGGAGGAGGAGGCAGGAATAGGGGGAGCATACGATGCGTAAATTGATGATCTCCATATGGTAATTGGTTTTCGTCGTAAGGCACATACAGAGAGAGGCTATGCTGGTCCCAAATGGGGAGCCAATCAGAGGAGGTCGGCCTTAGCAGGTCTTCCTTCGGTGGAGGCGGAAGACTTGGCCCTGACCCTGGAACCTGGTAACCGGAGGTCCCTTTACTGTCTATGGAGACGACCATCGTCCGGTCGTTGCCCTGATTGGCCTTCATGAATATGGCTACTGGAGGTTCTGGATCATGCTTGGAGAGGAAGTAATTTCGAACCAGGTGTCGGAGGGGGAGGTGGTGGAGGAGGAGTCCTGGGGTAGCAGCTGGACGAGGGGTGGACGTGGTGGGAAGGGGTGTGGTCGTGGGGTTCCCTACTGTTCCCTGCGCTGGGAACAGGATGAGCCCTGTATTAAATAAATGAAGAAATAAGAAATATTCAGCAGTTACTCGATAAAAAAAAGTAATTCTGAGATAATAATTCAGGCACAAGGAAAACACCAGATAAAAAAGGAACCCTTGAAAAATTAGGCTATTAGGGAAAAGAAAAAAAAATTGAATGATTTGTTGAGTAATTCAAATGGCATTATGAGAACTGGAATGCAAACATGAACTCAAATTCGAGTAAGAACGAAATATTTAAATAATTGAATTTGTAAACATGGACTTTAAAAATATATAGTTACAGGAAAATATGTGAAAAAATTACAGTTTCATGACAAAATTTGAGCGATCACAGGTGATCACATCAGAAATCAACGCAATTGCAAAGCAGCACGAAATACGGTGGTTTCGATTTTCCGAACGTTAACCGTCCGAGCATCTATTATCTGAACAAAAAAGAACCAGAGGACCAGCCATGATGCAGATCTGCCATTACAAGCGCAGATCTGTCACTCCAGGCACATGTCACTGTACCACAGGCAACCATAGACAGAACTTAACAAATGGATCCTACCACCAACCCAACCAGTGTTGGGTGCGTTACCTGTGAAAAGCAACTAGTTACAATTACAAGTATTCCATTCAAAAAGTACCTGTAACTAATTAGAAGTAGAAGTTACTTTTTCTGAACAAAAATTCTGATCTTTCTACAGCTTCTCCACCTCCTTGACAGAAGCTGGATGCATGCACTGAAAGCGAAAGTTACCCCTGATTTCATGAAAATTAAATTATGATCATCACTGCACTGGATAAGTACTCATGCTCACTCTTTTTCTTGTGCCTCTTCCCTTCCCATGGGCTACTTAACAGGAATTATATGCTGATAGTCAGAATGCACCCTTTAGCTTTAAAGAAATGGCAATTTTGCCATTGGTGATGGGAAGACCTACCCCAGCCTCCCCGCTATCATGAGTTCCTGATGGAAAAACAGAAGAAATTGAAGTCATGTTCTCTTGTTTCCCCTAACCAGACATAACCAGACTGCACAAATCAAGCCCATACAGTACAGTCATTGTAAAAAGTTAGTGAACATTCATTTTCAATGTACATGGTATTTTTATGGCGCAATCAAGGAGATGAAGGTGTTTCTACCATGAAATATGGGGAATTGGGTCTGAGGCGTTCATGTTAAAAGTGGTACAAATTCACTTGCAAATGTATGTTAGGTTAGGATCTACACTTGCGAGTGCTAGGCCTGAATATTAACGGAGCCTAACTAATGATGGATTGTTGGGAGGGTGATAAACGGAGCACATGAAATATGGCGAGGTAGCCAGGGTATACCCGCCCGCAGAGCCTAAAGGGGATTGGACAAAATCGAGGAGAGAGGTGCCAACGTTAAGCATACGAGAGGTTTCTGTGCAGATGCACCATCAGGATCAAAGCAACGCCTATCATTCAGACCTAACATTCGACCAAAGGTTGTCTGTATGAAATCAAGACACGATGGAGCTAATCTAGAAATGCTTTCTCAAGTTAGATGCTGAAATTCGCGCGACAGAAAGTACCTTGGCCATCAGGAAACAGAGAGCACTTCACACATTAGTTTGCACCGATGCAGCGGTGTATTTCGGCTGAAGGGTCAGGGGAGGCAGGGCAACAGAGCCAAACCCCACCCGAGCGATATCGGCAGGGAAAAGTATTACCTCTAAGGGGGGGGGCTGCCCCCCCTGCCCCCCCGTAAAATACGCCACTACATCGATGGAACTCTTGAATTCGTTCCTAACCTGCACTGAATAAACCATGCCCATCCGGCACAACAACGTTGTGTCAACGTCGAGAAAAGGTTTATTTTTCAAGGTAACAATGTTGTCTCAATGTTGAGAAAAGGTTGAAATGAAACAGAGCTCCACGTAGAAAAGTTGCTGCTGTGCAACGTTGTGTCAATGTTGAATTGACAACGTACGGGCATTATAGTACCTCCTCCCTTATCCAGAGTCTGAAAGAGCGTTAATTAGCTAACGATGAGAATGAATATAGATTCGATAACCCCCTCGGAGGGTATCCAAGTGGTATGATACAAGTAGACCTTATTGATGACAAACATCCCACGTAAAGGACCCTCATAGTTTCATTTCTTTTACTGGATTAGAATTCAAATTGAGCACTTACATGACTTAACTCTCATCAGGCCCGCGGGCATATTTTCATACTCTATCCTACATGGATGAGACCCAAGGAGTGCATGTACCATGTGGAGATTTAGGAAAATATAGCCTTGGACCCACTGGCCAGAAGTATTTTGAGTCTCCTTCTGTCGGGTTACCTCCTTAAATAAGTCTATCTAGAAATTCCTAAGCCTTCCCTTATGTTGTACATGGGAAAAGATCGGGTTCTGCATGAAAAATACAGGGTACTGCTTATTCCAGGGCACCAGGGTGAGAATCGCTGAATCGGAGGGTAGGCGCCATCTCGTGTCGATTCGTAGAATCTATTTTCTGTTGATATGATGTGGATAACTCCACGTAGTATAGCCTCTGAAAGACTTCGCTAATTCAAGAGTAGGCGCCAAATGCTGAAAATACGGTTAATTACGAATAGTTAGCATTTTATCGATGTTGATTTTTCGTTGATTTCTCACCTTCAACCAAGTCTCAACGTTTCAACCTTTCCTCAATGTTGACACAGCGTTGGTGTGCTAAATGGTGGTTTCTCCAGGCAATTTTATGTCCCCACTTTTCCTCCCAATTTTGCATCAATTAGGATGCATGTAGTCATGAAGCGCTGGTTGTTTTCAGCATAATTAATTAATCATGAAGCAAAAGAACGCGTTACAGTAACGCCACATACTTTTCCCATGAAAAAGGAACTAGTTACCAGTTCCGTTACCTTCCCCTGAAAAGTAACTCATTACCAAAAAAGTTACTGAAAAAAGTAATTAGTCAAACTACAGACGCGTGACTTTTATTTCGTTATCGCTCAACACTGACGCTAACATAAAGGTCTACGTTAACACCAGCACAGCAGCTTGCAAAGGCGACAGAAGGAATGAAAAATAAATGAAAACAAAACGAAAAATCGATCGCAGTATCTGCTTTTTCACTCTGCGAATGACAGATAAAAAGAAGTTAGTTTTCTATTAGCAGAAACCTCAAAGATGGTGCCATAGTTTAGGCGAGAAGAAAATTGGAACTTTAATCAGAACAGAGTTTCTAAAAACATCGACGATTGGGATGATGACATGATAAAAAAAAGTGTTTACTTCTCCCATATCAAGCCCATGGGGAACTAATATGGACAACAGGAGATCAATAAAAATAATGATTATATTATTGGTATGTCAACTGTGAACAGACGGGAAAGCAGTGACAGAAATACTGACACCAAAATACAGCATATAATCACATTGTGTTATTAATAATGAATCGTGTTGAATTTCCTAGCCATTTTCTTTATTTTCCGATTACCCGAACACCCTTGGATCGACGTTCTACTGCATGATTTCTAGTCCTGCATACACGACAGTTCATCAGTTCTTCATCAGTTCATTTGAGAGTTATTCCTAAGCGAAGGAAGCTGCTAGCGGTAACATCTGAAAGACATAGAATATTGTCACTTTTTTGCATGCATTCCTCACCAATGAGTAGCGCATGATGCAGCATGACTCGATCCGTTAGCGAAGGGCAGACCTGCCCCATTTCAACATCGATGGCCCTGCAAAGAAGCCGAATTGGGATTTAAATCGACTCAGCACTGAGCTGGACAAAAGGGAATGAGTTCCCACAATACCAACGCAGAGTTCAAGGTCCCAGAAGAATAATTCATCCCTTGCATACATTAGGAGATTTGATTAATCGCTCGGATTGTCAGACCCGAACCCCAAAGGGTTACAGTCGCAACTACGGTATTGTATGATGCTACCATTATTATAGTCAAAAGGAGCAAACACAGTATCGACTCACCGCTTTCCCTCTTCGAAGCCACGAATCACTCTGGTAAAGGGAGAAAACAGTTTTCTCCCTCGTTCGGCAGTGTGGATTATGAGAAATGTGGCCGCGAGAGACAAAATAATGAATGAATCGCCGCACGGACCACTCTCTTTTCAGTGAAAGGGACAATTAGATGAAAAATCCGACGTCGGATATTATAAACTGGGTTTTCCCCTCTTCGGGGTTTCCTTCCATTCCCTTTCCCCATGGTACTCGCATACTTTCGACAGAACGTCTCGAATTACATCGTTTCTTTTGTCAGCACTTTGCGAGGAATCTTTCGAGCTAGTTGCAATCGATTTCAATGAGATGAAATAAGGTGAGACTGCTCCGCCAACTTTTCTGGCACCAATCAAGCCAATTAAGGGTAAAAAAAAATCATCAGGGGATGTCGGTAACTTATCTTCGTTCGCCGTCCTCCAGTAAATCTTTTATTCGCTAGCTTCTGTGCTTCTATGAAGATAAGATAAAGGACAGCCCTAATTTTATCGCTGAGGATGGGGAGTGATTATATAAAACTGACTAGCGTAATGAAGCTTAAGGGTGGATTTTTGAACAGAGAACTATCCAATAATGCTGCTTTCTTTCTAGGAAATACCATGTATTTTCCCTGGAATAAAGCTGTATTATCGGATAGTGTTCTGTTCAAAAATCCACCCTTAAACTTCCATTAGCGCCGTATTAAAGCTTTATTACGCTAAGGTCAGTTTTATGCAATCCACTCAGGATCTCTTGAGTAAACAAGCTGACTTCAGTAGGATCACTGACCAACGTGCAACATTATTCAGGTAACCCTCACCCTGGCCAAAAGAGGTGTAAATGGGAAGAACCGCAGTCCTTGCATGGCCCACCCGACTGTGTTCGAAGATCTTTATTACCAGAATGACGCGCCACTTTTATTGGCTAGACTCTAGCCTTCGAGATAATTAGAGTTCTTAAAGCACCACGCTCTGAGAGTTTCACGAACGTATCCGAAAGACTGTCGGAAAACTTTCAGACCAGCACGAAGCATAGAACTCTACTCATGGACATGGCCGTCCCGTAAGCAGCGGGCAACGATGCGGTGTTAACAGGCATCCAGGTGATGTAACATTTGCGCTACCAAGAACTCGGATCTGGATCAGGTTTAGTCTTTGCATGAAATGGAAGAAAGCGACGAGAGAACGGAATCCCTTGCCCAGGTGAGCAACATTTGTTGGGTTCAGAGTTCAATAACAGGTGAGATGAAATATTTACATTTTTGGTGTGCTGCTTGGGGTACAAAACAACTTCCATCTTTCAGTTTAAAACTTTCGCTAGATGTCACGATGGGTGAGGAAAGAAAGAAACTAGAGTTCTTAGTTGACAGGCTTGTAGAATATATGAATTCTTACAACCTTTAACTTGGGCTCTGTAGGCCTAATGTCATTTTCATAATTTTGATATAACCTCGCTTTCTTGGAGGCACTATAGATATGACTTTACACTATGTACAAGATGGTAGTATTCATTTGCAAATTGCTGCAGGTTTAATCATTTATTCTGAAACCTCTGGAATTGGCTAGACCTGGGCAATGCTGCAATTTTATTTTTATTTGAGCCAAGTGCTTCGTGTAATCTGACACTCTTCTATGTTACTTCATATGTATGAGTGTTGGAGTCAAATGAAAAATTGTTGGAAGTGAGGAAAACGCTGTAGGACTAAGTCTTCCTCGCCAAGTTGAGAAGGTCTGGTTCTCCATACAACACACCATGATGCAGACTTGCATATTTTGGAAATAATTCCTAGGGAAAATCCCAAGTTTAAGGTAGGCAGAATATTTGCTTTGATATGGAGAAAGGCATTACTTAAAAGCTTCTGAAGAGTTTCTATTAAGTTTAGGTTAGCTCAGGTAGAGGCCTATATTAGGGGCTAGCATTATATGGACTTTATATATAATTTCAGACTCAGCCTTTTAAGAATGTGCCACATGAAAGATTCAACACTCAGACAGCATCTTACCATAGAGGCAGTTTATGTGTGTCTCAATTCATTGCTTGAGCAATAAATCCATGATTTTAACTTTAGGTGGTTTTGTCCACTTTGATTATGTAAATACCTGCCAAAGGAGCCACTCTCCTGGTCATGAATACTTCTGCATGAGGACATTCCTATCTGTTTCTTCCTATGTGAACATCCAAAGCTGGTATTTCATGGGGATGAATCTCAGAGTAGAATGAGGAAGAAAATATTTTTCTGTACTGTCATCCTTAAGTATTCAATCTACCCAGCCAGGTAGTAAAAGTGTGGTAGACGTAGGGCATGAAAGGCAAGACACTTCTGCTTTGACATTGAACAAGTATAGTGGAACCCAAGAGTTATGAATGTGATTTTTTATTGCTTGTGATTAGTTTTTGAAGGAATACTCTTTTTAAGATAATAGCTTTCTAGTGATTGGTTAGGTGAACTCTTATGATCTTGTGACTACTCTTCAGTGTAAAGGAAGTAAACTTCTTTTATTACAAATTGCATCCCAGCAAACCAGTGGTTATCAGAATAAGCCTTAACCTTGGTTAAGCTTGATCATGGTTCATTTCAGAAGGATGTCATGTTTTCCTGTCCAGGGTGTTTTTGCCTTCAGACAACAGGCAGATAAAAATAAAGGTAGAAAGTCAATCTCAAAGAGGACATCTGGGGGAGACAGATGGTTTGGATGCATTCCTTGTGCCACAGCTGATTTTCATCTTCAGCAGCGACTCAAAAATTACAAGAAGATTGTAGAGAAGATTGATTGCCTCACTAAGGTAATGCGAAAAAGCAGCTGGTGTTCATTCTCTGAGTAGCTGTGCTAGTGTTTATGATCTAGTTGAATTTAACATCCATTTCTTAGAGACTGGAGGAAGAAGTCCATGAATCGCTCATCAAAGATGTTGTGAGTTACCTGTCATCAGCAACCTCCGATTGCTCTAACACCATTCCCTGTGCTGCTCTGATGCTTGGCAAGTTTTACAGATCAGATGGGGATATTTATTTTCCCAAAGCTAAAATGGTTTCAGTCTTTAAAAAAAGGTGTTATTTTCCAGGAGTGAATATGCCAGACCATTCATCAGTGTTTCACAGCATGTTCAGAGAGGTGACAAAGAAAGTCTCACCACTGATTGCCTGCATCAAATCTGAGCAGACACCCTCAATCAAACACCTTGTTCAGCTTATGGTGTCACAGATCACAAAGCTGAGGCCTGTGAGTTTCTTGTCTTAAGAATTCAGTCTTGCTGACATAGATGTCTATTCCTAGAATATTCTGAAGGTAAGAGAACGCATTTGGAAAATTTAGGTCTTATATCAGGGTAGTAGTTATAAAAAAAAAAGCATTTTAGCCTAGTGTGACAGGTCCTAGCTTGAAGATTCCTAAATGAGGCAATAGTACAGATCTATGGGGTAAATTTCTCTAGCAACAGAGAATGAGATTAACAGTGAAACATACATATCCTGTCATCTGCAGCTTGTATTTTTGGGTTCCCCCAGAATGTTGTACTTCAAGCTTATTTTAAATGTCTTTAAATATCTTTAAAAATGCACTACATCCATTAATAGTAGTCAGGCAAATGGTGACCACAGGCAGAAATTGTCTATTGAATGACCCCATAGTATATTTGTAGTTAGAAAGAATATGTAGAAGAACCCCTATTGTAAGAGCAATATTTTTAGGGATTACAGTCAGACTGGCTATCCTTAGTATCTAAAGCTGTGCTTTCCTCATTTATGGTGGACCTTTTGACTTGGTCTTTTGAATTTTGAGTTAGCGCCATGAGTGAGTTTTCTTGAGAAAATTTCATCCATAGATTCCATACGATGAAGTAATGCAAAATGTGAGAGATATCAAAAAAGGAGACAAAGAAAAGGAGGAAGAGTTGGGCTTCTTGGAGGAGGATGAAGACGATTTGAGGAGGAAACCAGCAGTAAATCCAAGCCGTATGTCCCACTGCACTATGACCTTCTTAATGTCTTGGTACCAGAGGCAATTCCTGGAAAGCAGGCCTGCTCCCAAGCGGAGGAAGAAGCATTCAAGCACACCCCCAGTGGTTGTCATTCTGGAGGACCTTGAGGGATTCCAAGGTGGCATGCTGAGGGATTTCATTTCCATTTGCAGGTCTGGCAATGATTTTGTGGTGGTAACATTAGCAAGTCTAGATTTCTAGTACCTACCATGGAAGATATTCAGTAAGCAGTATTTAAAAAAATATTTCTGATCTGTATTCTGCCTCTCTTCTGTTCCTTCCTTTCCTGGAGGAAAAAAAAGAAATCTTTCAAGCTTTCTCTTTACTCTTTTCTTGAAAAGAATGGTTGCTTTTTCCATTCTATTCTAACATGATTTTTAAATCCTTTTATTGAGGGGAAAGAAAAAGGTTTACTGTTACCATTGATTATTGAAGTGCTAGATACAGGCAAAATTTCAATAGCAATACATATACAATACTAGTGAGTGCGAGCTATTGTTGCACCTTCGGCGCTCTATTGCCTTGGATTGTGAAAAATTCATTTATTCTTTGCGAAATGGCAAACATGTATTTAAAGTACGTCCCCATTGAAATATGTGACATATGGGGATGAAAGTCTTGATTTTTATCAAAATCATTACTTCTATGATTTCTAGTGTGCCTAACTTGAAATCTTTTCATGTGTCCCTTTTTTAAGGGTGAAGAATACATTTAGAATTACTTCCATCCTATAATCTACGCTAAGGAGACATATATCAAAAGTAGGATATTTCCTGTACTCAGCCATCAAATAGGTACTTCTGAGAGATTTTAACTTTTCTGTCTCTGTTTCAGTGGCTCACTAAAAAAAAATCAGGAAAATGGGACTTAAAAAAAGTGCCCTGATGGGTTTAACAGAAATTTTTTTTTCTTCTGAAATGTAGACTCAGAAGACCCTCTGTTTTGCTGGATCAGAAAATTTGGGAAAATACTTTTGCAATATATGTGCCCTGAGGCATTTTAACCAAAAATTACCTTTTTTTTTTTTTTTTTTTTTTTTTTACCAAAATCAATCCTCAGAGAACTACATACCCACAAAGTTTCAACCTTATTCATTTTCCCTTTTCGCTAGTGAAAAGACATGCTTGGAAAAGCTGACCCACCCAAAAGCTATGCCCGGCATGCTATGCACCATGGAAAGCTGGAACTTTGCATGAATGTGATTACTGAGACAAGGAGTTAAAGAAAAGTGTGTAATATCGACACATCCCCATGGAGGAATTTTTTCGCAGGACGATGTTTAAAAAATCCATGAAAGCTATATCTGTCCACAGCTCAATAATATCATGTCACTTATACGTGTGCCAAGTTTCACCTTTCCATTTCTGTCCAATTCACCACAACAAAAATTTTTTTTTTAAACATCGTCCTGCGAAAAAATTCCTCCATGGGGATGTGTCGATATTACACACTTTTCTTTAACTCCTTGTCTCAGTAATCACATTCATGCAAAGTTCCAGCTTTCCATGTTCATCAGTTTAACTGATGCAAAAAAATTATTTGGAAACATCTCCCTTTGAAATCTGTCCCCCCAGGGCATTTTCTTCCAAAGTCTGAATTTTTCTGCACACATCATCCTAATAGGTAGTTATGTACCAAGTTTCATCTTTCCACACCAGCTCAATATGCCAGGGTAAAAAAATGACTTGAAAACGTTGGCCCCTAAAAATATGCACCCACATGGCATGAATCTAAAATTTTACATTTTTCCTGAACTCATTGTCTTGGTAGGCATGTCCATGCCAAGTTTCAGCTTTCCATGTCTCTCCGTTCTACTAAAGCAAAAATATTGCTAGGAAAGAAGAATGAGCAACGCGACTTGGAAGGCATAAAAGCCCGAAAGAAGGCCACGGAACTTCCAGGATTTGAACCCGAGCCTCCCGATTGCCGGTCAGGTGTGTTACCACTACACCACCGAACCTAAGACATCCTGTCAAGCCTCTTAATGCCATCCTAATCTGTCACAATATATATCTTTAAAAACTTCTCCCCCCCCAAATGTGTGCTCCCTGGGCATGTACCTCCAAAGTCGGATTTTTTCTGAACTCTGCATCCCAAAAGGTACATGTGTACCAAGTTTCAGGTTTCTAACTTCTCCAGAACATGGTTAGAATTAGCGTCAGTCCGTCAGTCACGATCGTCTATATATATTAGATAATTACCATTAGAGTACCAATAACTCATTGATTTTTCAAGTTAAAGTTGATGATGGAGAAAAGATAATGGGTGTTCTTCACAAACCTGCATTAGTGCTAATTTGGAATTAAACCTTGCTGCATGAGAGCAGTTTTTCAGGAATAATGACACTAGATTTTAACATGCTCTCACTTTCAATCACAGGGAAAAATTTTTAATTTCAAGTAAGTGATGTACTGGAACCAATCGTTTCCTTGTGTGAACATCATACAAAAAGGTTCCAGTATCAATTTTCTTACATTTCAAAATTATTACTAATATGAAGGTATTCACAGCATATCTTACTTTATCCTGGGCCTGTGACAATTATCATATCACATTATCAATTGATATTGTTCGGCTTGAAGATATATCTGCATAACATCCCATGTGAAAATTCCATATATTGCAAGGTGTATGATTCTATATGGCCATGTATGGTCATATATTTGCCATGTACCATCATATATCAGGTTGTAAAGGTGAAATTTAGACATTTCGATTTTTTCTAGAAAAATCTGGAAAATGTTAGAATGTAGGTGTATAAGTAGAGTGACCAGTGGGCATTGTGGGCGTGAGTGCTTATCGTGAACCTACAACAGATACATTGACGCAAGACTGCACTCTTGTCGTTGTTGAGTTAATTGTCAATAAATTGTTTTCTGGAAAATGTCTAAATTTCACCTTTACAACCTGATATATATTCATATATTAACAATTGTATAGCGTATATATTTAACCTGCATTGCAATATTAAGTGTGATGGGCTAAAGGCATAATGTCTGATATGTGATGAATATCCATGGACAAGTCATATGTTTTACTTGCAACCATATTTTGGCTGAAGAGTCAGGGGGACAGGGCAGCAGAGCCAAGCCCTGTCCCAGGGATTCAAAGGGGATGGGGGCAGCTATACCACCCTGCCCCCTCCTTGTAAAATGTGCCACTGCATGAGGTTATTAAAAATGAGAGCTATTGACTTTCAGCTGCCTCTGCAACTAATTTTTTAATACACTCATATTTTACATGAAATATTAGCTATGTATAACCTTTAAAGTAATTTGCCAAGTTTGATTTTGAATCCCCCCCAGCTTAAAGTCCCAGTTGGAAACAGCTATAACTTCCAGTGGACCCCAGCTGTAATTTGGACCCATTCCTACAGCTTAGCAGCTGGAAAGTAAAGTCAGATCCAGATTCGTTTCTAATTGCAATACCACTGGTGGAATAATAATTTTTTTCCTGGATATTCTTGCTAGAGGTCCATCTACAGAAACAGCTTAAATTCAACTGTATTCCAACTGGAGGGTCCTCTTTATAAAATTTTTAAGGGTAAATTTCCAGCTGAAAACAGCCATTGAAATCAGCTGCATTCCAGTTGGAAAATTCCATTTGTTAAACAACCTGTATCTACCTTTTTCCAGCTCTTTACCAGCTGGAATTGGTCTGAATATACAGCCCTTGTCCAACTGGAAAATTCTGGTTAGGATTTCTAATTGAACCCTACCCTCTCTAAGTAGCAAATACGTATCAAGGATGAAAAAAGTGGGGTGGGGGGGGGGGTGGCTACGGGAACTCTGGGACATTGTTATGCATTTCATATGTCTATTCCTTTTTATTAATGCTTCTATTTTGTTGTAAAGTGGGGGGCATGTGCTTGCTGTACTGTGCTGCATCCCCCCCCCCAACTCTATGCCACTCCCTGGCAGGGCTGTTTCTAGGCATATTGGCACCCAGGGCTAGGGGTTCCAATGGCGTCCCCCCCTCCTCACCAACAACTGGGACGTGAAGCACCACCACAACTCTGATGATTAGGGCCTCATCACCAGAGGCTGACAGGGAGCCAGAACTGATGGAAATAATTTTGTTACATTTGTAAATAATCAAAGCCAAGTCAAGGCATTTTCTTCCATGTTAGCCATATTAAATAATATTTGTTTTTATTATATTGTTTCTTTGTGCTGTGTAATTGAGTTCTTGGAGTAATTGACTGTGGTCTATGAACAAATAAAAATGAATAGATTGTAAGTTACGTATGGTGACTTGCATATGAATGATTATGCAGTATTAGATGGATTATGGACCCTTTTTAGGATACAGGTATGTTTTGAGTAATCTCACCATATATATGTCATGACATATATGGGCAGTATATGGTGCATTTGTATGAGCCAATATATGAAAATGTATGGGGTCATATATTTGATTCTTATATGATTTTATGTGACTTGTGTCAAACCCCATACATGTTTCACATATGTTCATATATGAATTGTACTATATGGTCATATATGCCCCATATATGTCAGACTGGCTAAATATATGGCCATTTCATATAAGGTCTTGTATGAAATTTTCACGTGGAATGATGCTCTTACCCAGCATCTTACAGTCCCTTACTGATTACCCATAGATGATTGATGTCTGAAGGACTGGCACTTGCTAACTTTCATTACCTTATGCAACTCCCCATGTTATTAAGCCTACATAGGGGAGGGTTGATGAGGGCCTTTATGATTTAATTACAATATGACATCCCTGAAGCATTAGGACTATTAAGCACAGGCAGTACCCTCTGACAATGATTAGTGTGGAGTTTGTAATGGAGGAAAGCACTTCCTTTTTGGACCTCCAGGTGGTGCTTGTATGGCCTCAAAAGTGATCTATATTTGGACTATTTAATGAACTCAGAAAGTGTTCCAATAAAACTATCAGCATGCAGCTTTTTTTTGGCCATAACATTTTTCAATCAATAAAAGTTTTCATTTTTGCATCATTTTAGCAAACTTGCTATACCTTTGCACTTTCCTGAAAATATCCAATTACTGCATATGGTATTGTAATAATATTTATAATGAATAATGTAATGGATAATAGTGTAAGAATGAGGAATAATAGTATGAATGTTGATAAGATGAAAAGGACTAGTCCAAAGACTAGCCTGAAGTAAAAATGGAATTTCCTTGTTGAAGTGGATGGATTCTGTTGGCATGCTCAGGATTAGTACCACAATTAAAGTTGCTGTGAGGATTCAAATCATGGAGCTTGGGAGAAAAAAAAATACTAGGGAAGAAAAACCATTTTATAATTGTGCATGGTCACACGTTTCAAAATGCCTCCCAACACAAGAGACCACCTTGGGTTTGACAATGTCAGTGTTTCCAATGTCATCACATCCCACATTCTCAGAACATGTGGTGGAGAGATTGAGTGCTCAGGCACACAGCAGAGGGCAGTCAAGGTGCAAGTCGAACCCACAAATTATGGATATTGGTCCTTGAGTCGAGATTAAATACACTCCAGTGACTTCCAGGAAGGTTTTGGTTTTCTCTGGTCGGTGGGTGTCTCCATGGATGGAGATGAGGAGGATAGTTGACTGTATTTTATTTTTAGAAATGGCTCTTCATGTATGGCAACGTGGTGGCAGTATGAGGGAGAGGCAGTGTCCTACAGTTTCCATACCTTGGTGACAGTATAAACATGGACAATATTCCATGGTTTTCGTACCTTGGCATTACCAATAAATGTAGAAGAGGTCAGTATGATTATCATGAGAACCAAATACCACAGTATGATGAAAATACCAGTATACCACAATACCCTACTGGGCATTGATACTTCCATGGAGCTCATGTTCTGTGCCATGAAAAAATGGAAAAAGATGACTTTATGGAAGCATGCATATCACAAAGCAACACCTACTTTGGACATAAAAATGAAAAAACTTGCTCCCTGAAATAATTCTTTACTAGAAAAAATGATGAAAGAAGTGGATTTTATCATGATGTCTAGGGCCACTGCCATGTGCATAAAACATGTAGATCTTTACACTCAGCCTAGACTCATGGACAACCTCTGTGTATGGCTTCCAAAACATTTGGTGCACCTGAATGCATGACATCCCTGTTTGTGAACAAACAAGTTCAGGAAGCCATAATAACAAATGATATACAAATTAGGAACTTACGGTTGCTGGGGAGTTGTGCTTTCTCATAAGTGCATCTGACTACTTTTACAAGTATTTTAAAAATCATACTCTCATCTTAGATCATTAGAGGGTTCCATACTGGGAGAAAACTGGTAGGAGTATCTGGAGAGTGGCAATGCACATCATCTCTGATTCTATTCTGAAATTTGTTGGAATGGGGGCTGTGAAATGAATTTAAAATCAAAATATTTTGCCACTATGCAGCAAAGGGTTAAAATGTATAATTCTGAATTAAAGAACAGAAGTTAATGTTAGTTACATTTATCAAAAATTAACTGGAGCTTGGCATGAACCCTTTATAGTTCATTGGAAAAATAGTTTCTCATTGGTGGCAGTGGGAAATTATCCCTCTGTCACCCTATGACAGGCAATGACCTGTAACACACATTGTGAGTTTCCCACCTGTTATTGCACAGATGTGGCTGGAAAAATTTTTTTTCACAGTTGTTACATGGAGTAGGAAGTTGCATGTAAAGAGTTCTGCAAATAAAATATGATTTTTTTTAATGAACTCCCAGTCTTATAAAAGAAGGCTAAGAGAAGATTTTTCAATATTTGTTGATTGTTGTAAGCTCCACTGTTGATTTTCAATTAAGCATATCTTTGTGAGTTGTAGGAATGCACTGATACCGATCTGAAGTATCGATATTGACCGATACCTATATTACCGATCTGATCCTCCCCTTCTGCACACTGTACTTAACCCTTTCAGTATGGAATTTTCTATGCATGGCCATGCCTCCTGGCCAGGATTTTGCATTTAGACCAGAGTTAAGGGGGCTTGAACCAAACTTGGGGAGGGCTAAAGCCCCCTTGCTACGCCACTGCTGATCGTCCATTGGACGTAGTACCTACTATTGATGGTTTCTTTGGTGGGCCTGGGAGGATGAGGGATGGGGGGATTTAAGCCTATAATTGAGGAGTTCTCTGGAAAAAGGGTGTATGTGTCCATATGGATGTATGGGCACATACGCCCTTTTTCCAGAGAACTCCTCAATTAAGAGCCTTGATTTTCCAAAGGTAGCATCAAGCCTACGAAGATAGCAATATAGGTCTGGCTCCATGTTGTGGTTTCACTTCTGAAAGCCATTGGGAGGTATTGGTATTGGTATTGGCTAAACCTGGATTGGTGCATCCCTAGTGAGTACCAGCCCCACTTGTGGTCATTCCATGTGTAGTATTTTTTTTTTTTTTTTTTTTTTTTTACTGAACCCTCTAGTTCACTTGAAACATCTAAGAGATATTCTGTATTTGTATTTCAGTGACTATGCAGGAACCTTCCCATTTCTGCTAGTAGTAGGTGTTGCCACAACATCATCATCTCTTCATGCGCTCCTCCCAGTGGATGTGGCTGCTCTTCTTTCCATTGAAACCTTCCATACCCTCTCCCCACCTCAGTATCTCAATAGGTTCTTCGAAAAAGTGAGCTTGCACATCCCTGCAGTTGTCAAAACCATTTGAGATGAACATACCGTGATGATGGAGCTTCCCTGTAGGTTGTCTTCAGTCCAAGCCTGTGCTTCCACCTGGGTGGGAAACCATTGCGCTTTCTTGTTGACACATTCCTCTATCATGACTTTGCCATTTCACGTTTCATCAATGGCTTCAAGGTACTTTGAGAGCACCTTCATGAAAAATTATGTTATAGGTGTGTATAGCATGTCTGAAGAAAATAGCATTCAGAATAATTTCAGGAGAATGTAGTTCAAAGTATGATTAACTTACAGTACTTATGATTGCTGCATTCAGCTATGTCTACTGCATGAAATGAGTAAGTCCATAGATGTATGAGTGAATCTGCCCATTGGTGGATAGTCCTGACTCACTTTTTCATTAATTTAAGGGAGATCTTCTCTGCCAACCCTTTTAAAGCCTAAACAAAGGCTTGAGCCCTTGGGCAAGTGGTGTATGCTTCTGTTGTCTACCCTCCAAACTATCCTGAATGGATGACTTGTAGCTTTAGCTGGCCAAGGCTCACATTGGTAATTCTGAAATCCTCCTCTTGTATATCTCTAAAACTACCAGAGTAAGAAGGTTCAGACTAGGGGTTATAGTGGTTCTATTCATCTGTCATGGATACTGTAGGTTGACCATATCACAAGCATCAGAGCATAATTTGTCTTCAATCTACCTTCAAGTGTGGCCTTAATTTCTCCTACACACATTCCACATGTGGAATGTCATTAAATCAATATCTTTCCATTAATCTTGTCTCCATCTTTGTTTTAATGAGTCAGAAACTTTTGGAACACCCTCTATACTTCAACCAGGTATATAATCATGCATGCAGGAGCCAAACCCTCAACCCTGATAATTCTTTTATATGGAACATGCATGTTGCCTTGGTATGTTTAATGTTTGAATAAGCCTCACATGTCATGTATGTGACTATATAACGAGGTCTGACAATAAAATAACGAGACTGACAATAAAATAATGAGACTGACAATACTGTAATGCGTGTGGCAACACTAGGTTACCGGCGATTGCTGTAACCTGTCAGTGCATGTCTTAAGTCTGTGCAGTAACAAACTTGTCGTGATACTTCTAGTGATTGCAGAGCAGTACCACTTTACCTAAAGTAGTGTTAGGGGCACTCATAAAAAAAATGGGTGATAATATTATGAATAAAGAATCAACATCAAATTTCTAATCAAACTCAGGAAAAAACCAACTGAAGTCTTTGAAATGTTGAACTTTCTGTTAAAATCAATCATACTGTCTCTCTATTGATACACACTTCTTCGGCAATCATTCTGACAATAAGACGACGATCACTTTGCACCAGAGTTCTCACACTTTCGATGTTTTCATCAGATTTTGAAGTTGTCAGACGTCCAGGTCGTCTGTCAAACTCAACTTCTTCCCTTCCTTCAGAAAAGCGTTTACATTGTTCAAAAACATTTTGCTCTGGACATAACCTCATCTCTGTACACTTGTTTCAACATTTTAACGACTTCAGTTGGTTTTTTCCTGAGTTTGGTTAGAAATTTCACATTGATTCTTTGTTCATAATATTATCACCCATTTTTTTTACAAGTACCCCTAACACTACTTTAACCCTTTCGGCGTCCCTCCCAGATGGATGTGCGCTTCCCATGGTGTCCAACTTTTATTAGACATTCGCAGAAAGTACTAGCAATGCTAAAGCTGTTGAAGATAAACTAACCAAACTTTCATTTAGCTTCATGTAGATTTGTTACAAGTGCCAATTTTGGAAATAATCATCATGATGAAGGGGAATGTTTCCACACATCACACACTCAAAGCGTGTCTCTCTTCTTGTTGGGCACGCCCTGCAGCATCTGGTTGGCTTTTTTTGTTTGCAGTTGGTAGAATATGCATAAGAATATAGATCTGAGATGATGTAAGTTCTCTTTTTTGTTGTTATACCAGGGCTGGGCAAGAGGATTTCCTTCCCCTTGTACTTTTCAATCATCTCCTGGATGAGCTCAGTGCGGAAATCCAATAATGCCCTTTGGTCATTGGAGTCGTTGATGCACTTATCTTGTATGCCTGGAATACACATATATCTATCATGTGCCAAAAGAACTTGTGGTACCACTTCATTGCCTTCCTGATACTTAGATAAGTATCCCCCATCTGATCCGACACATCAACCAAATTCATGTTATAAATATTATACATGTTTATATTCATAAATTCATGTTATACTCTAGCACTTCGTGGTTTTTTAAATATTTTCTCTTTTTTTCATCTGTTCTCTTTCCCAGTTTCAACAAAAGTGGCATCATGAAAATTGTTCGACATGTATACATCCCTCTTCTCTTTCCATTTGAGAACCACACCATCTTGTGATTACGTCACCTTGTTTCAGCTTTGTTTTCTTTAGGTCCTTTGGCATGCCCTTTCTTCCTGCTAGCACCATTCCACAAGCATTGAAACCAATATCGTGCCGAGTACGTACTCGGGGTGATGCGGGTAAATGGACATCCGCATCACGAGTACGTACTCAGGATGATACTGAAAGGGTTAAGTAAAGTGGTACTGCTCTGCAATCACTAGAAGTATCACAACAAGTTTGTTACTGCACAGACTTAAGACATGCACTGACAGGTTACAGCAATTGCCAGTAACCCAGTGTTGCCACACACATTAGTGTTGTCAGTCTCGTTATTTTATTGTCAGACCTCGTAGGGCCATACATTAAATATATGTAAATACATATGGCACCGGTATCTGCATATACCTGTCATATATGATCTTTCTGTTTGGGTCTATATTGTTGCATGTCTTTGAATAGCATACTTAGGCCCAATGATTGTGTTATTTATTACTTGTTGCTGATGCAGTGTAACATGACTGATTTAGGACCTGCCAGCATACAAATACTGTGGACCAATGGCAGCTCATCGCATGCAGCAGTTGTAGTTCTTGAATGGAGATAGGGCAGGCCGGCCTCCCCTATCGCCATTTACGAAGCAACACTGCTGCATATCACAAGCTGCCACTGCTGTGGACTTACTTTCCCTCCTCATATTATACTTTTGCAAATATTTCAATATTGTTTTGCTCTTCATTTACCCTTCCTCTTCTGTTATTTCCTGATGGAGACAGTATTGTGTCTTGGAACACATGTACAATGAACCGCATGCAGTGCTGTGCTGTGAGGAATCAGATGTGGATGGGATTGTGGATGCACTCAAGGACAAGGACCTGGGTGTTTTTCGTCACTTGCCCTCTTTCCAAGCCTATCTGAAAACCAAGCCTACTGAGAAAAGACAAAGCTTTCTTGGCAGCCATACTGATTTCCGAGTGAGTGTTGAAGAGCTCTGCTCTTTTCATCGTGTATGTTTTCAGGAAGTCTCCTCACTTTTGAAGGGGAGTGGGATTACAAGAGCATTTTCATTTACAGATGGGTTTTTTAGATTTAAAAAAATATGCAGAAAGTAGGAACTGCAGTGTCATTTTTCATATTAGTGGCATAATCCTGTTAAAGTACATAGCAGAGTTGGAAAAAAGTATGTCAGAAGTGAATTTGACCATGACAGCAGTAGAAAAATTGTTTGATAAATAATATTGAAATGTCAACTTTTTAATCCATATTTTCAGGGTGTTGGTACTTCATCACGTAATATTTAGTTGCTGTGATGTGGAATACTGCTTTACTCACTGGATTGCAGGGGACAGTAAATGTTTTGAGCAGCCTGACAGAGTATACACTACTATTCCAACTTCATAAGCCTGCAGACCAAGTAATATAGGAGATATGGACAGGTCATTTACGTGGTGTTATACCCAAAATGAGTAGGTGATTCCATGAACGTTTATTTGAAATTGGCTGTTCAGAGTCTGAGTTACAGGTCTAGAAGGTCATTCCACACAATGTCAAATAAACGGGTGTGTCAGTGTGGAAACTCTGGTTGCATTCTTTATGCATGATGGTACTATTTCCTAATAAATTTAGTTGAGCTGGCAGATTCGGGCTGACACTCGCTTATTTAACATCATGCAGAAATGGGCTTTCAGGGGTTTTGAATGAAACTATCTGCATGTGTTAGATGGCAGACCTAGTGACTCAAAAAGTTCAAGATTTTACATGACTATGGAAGACTTCTGCAAAAAATGTATTTGGTGTCACATGTGGAGGTGATTTCTGTAAATGTCATTGGTTGTTCAAAAGCCAGCAAATAGCTCTTTTTGCATGGTGTCATACAAGTGAGTGTCTGCCTGCATGTAGCTGCTTGGTGGAAATTTGGTAGGACTAGTCCCATTGTGTGCAAAGGAACCATCCAGGGTTTGCACACTGATAAACTCATCAGTTTGACGTTTTGCAGAAATAAAGCTTTAAGTTGGATTTTGAGCAACTTATTTCAATGAAGATTTCATGGAATCACTTACTCACATTGAAAATTTTGTATCCTTATGGTATTCTTTCTTCAGGCTTGAAAATTTGAATTTTATCGTGCCACCCAGTATATCTACAGGGTGTCCCGTAAGTCAGGACCCATAGGGAAAAATTAATAAAATTACAAAATAGTCCAAAAATTTATTACATAATCTGTTCAAAGTAGCGTTTAGATTGTGCGCATGTCCGATGGAGACCGGCAAATGTTGATTTATTCGAGTACAATTTATTTATTCAATTCATGCCTTGGCGCATTCGACAATCGTGCTTCGCATTCNTACCAAGAAACGGAAAATACGGCAGCATGGCGTAAAAGACACCATAAAACACGCCTCAGATGCTCAAGCGCTTCGCTCCTGTAAAAAATAATATCAGAAAAAAAAAGTGAAAATGCATCTGAAGCAAAGTCTCAAATGTCGCGATCACGACCTAGGAATTTTTTCCATACCTGCCTGAAGCACGTTTCCATGCGAGATCAAGGAAATGTACTCGGAGGAAGTCCCATTATTCGTCCTCGAGACCTTGAGCGTATTTATGAACTTCACTGGGGTCGTTTTCTGCGACAGGTGGGCGACTTGACTGCCACTCCCATGTGATAGAATGTTTTTCACACCCGAGAGCCGCGCAAAAAACAAAAAAAATTAATTTTTTTTTTATATGGTTAGTGGCCACTTAATGCGAATTAGCGCTAATCGGGACGACAGAAAAAAAATTTTAATTTATGAATGATATTTCATATTATGCCATGCAGCCTCCTACCAGCTTACCAGTGAGTCTGATAAAAGTTTGAAAAACGGGCAGAAGCCACCCCCCTTCCCCCTCCCCCCTCCCCACCTTCCCCTCGTACCTTGCGGCATGACGCCACGCTGCTACTGGGAAGAGGGTATCTATTGGATGGGGACGAGTACAGCCCGTCCGGGCAGGGAAAGGAAGAAGCAGGCATGACCCGCATGGACTGCAATTTGTCACGATAAAATCTGGAAATGCTAGGACTAACTACAGGGTGTCCCGTAAGTCAGGACCCATAGGGAAAAATTAATAAAATTACAAAATAGTCCAAAAATTTATTACATAATCTGTTCAAAGTGTCCGCCGTTGTGTCGCATACATAGTTGAAGACGCAATCTCCACTGCAACCGCACTTTCTGAATCACAGTCGCAGTCCATAGGGAAAAATTAATAAAATTACAAAATAGTCCAAAAATTTATTACATAATCTGTTCAAAGTGTCCGCCGTTGTGTCGCACACATAGTTGAAGACGCAATCTCCACTGCAACTGCACTTTCTGAATCACAGTCGCAGAAATTTCTTGACACACATCCACAATGCGTGCTTTAAGGTGGAAAATGCTCCCTAGAAATCCCTTTGGGTCCTGACTTACGGGACACCCTGTATAGATATGTCTTGCCTATCAATGAGTTAAATTTTCATAAGCTTTGCCAGCACTGGAATGTGTAAATAAATTTACTCCCTGATCTGCAGCCCTGACTAGAGGTGATGAACTTCTATTCTGTCATGCTGTGTATTAGGTGGTTGTTTGCTTTTAAAGTTTTAACAAATGTTAATCTTACTGCCAGAAAGCTTGATACATTTCAATTACATTTACCATGTTTCTCCCATTGTAGATGTTTCTGAAGCGTCTGATGTCCAGTGTGGGACTCCATCATCTGGCTCTGTCCAAGGCTTCCCAGTGCATTTATGTCCTTACAAGAGACCTCAATAAGTCCCCTCTTGGAACGCAAGTGTGTTATCTTATGCTCTTGAAGGCAAAATATGTACAAACCCTTCACTTTATTCCAGGGATGCCCAACATACTGCTCACAAGTGACTGACCTCTTGCCAAGAAGGAATTTCTAAGAGACAATCGAATAGTTATTTCGCTGACCAATTGGGGTCATGTGTGTTTCTGGCTTATAACACACTTAAAGAACTCAAATTTCACTGATTCTTCACTTACAGAAAAAGTTGTGCATTCCTGCTTTGTTCTGCACTCTAGCTTTGTCGTTTCTTTGGGTTTTGATACAATTGTTTTGTCAAGGTATCTTTATATAAATGGTAGGCTTACTTAATTAAGCATCTCTAACCAGTTGATTATATATAAATATAAATATTCCTGCTCATAATACTTCATATGCTTGTCACACTATGCTCTAAATCATGACAGCTCGTTCTCAGACTTGAATGTTTCAACTTCCCTCATTCCATGTAGGACATTAGTGAGTATTTGCATCAACACCTGATGTTGTGGTTGCATTGTTTCTTGAAGTTACGAGAAGTATACTGTTTAGCCATCGCCTCCAACCTTCTGCAAACTGAGGAATTCAAAGAAGCAGAGAAACAGCTACGAACTTTGCCACTTGATGAGCTTTCTGAGAAGCTGAAGATGTGTCAGCAGATATTAAACTTTCCAGGTCCAGTTCTTCATGAGTTCACATAGGTCATCTGGGTCACCTTTAATTTATGATATTGTTTCATGCATTTGTGAATTTGATTTTTTTTGCAGCTGTGGAGGAATTTCCAGCACTCAAAAACCTACTGGTCAAATTGGATGAATGGCTTAAACATCTGGCTGATTTGAAGATCAGTGGTGAAAATTTTCAGGTAACTTCACCTTTGATTCCTGGACCTGTCATCAAGCTCAAGAAGATGTCTCGCTTTGAGTTGCAAGAAGTAAGAGAGCTTTCTCTCTTTCCAGAAGTTATTCCAGTATTATTATTTGTAGAGAAAGTTTGGCTGTTAATAATAAATGTTAAGTGGCTTTTTGTTATATTTTAAAAATTAATTGATGAATCGAATTAAAAATAAACGCTTCTGACTGATAGGAAATCATGCTAACAAGATAGCTAATGAGACAAGATCTCAGTTTACATGATTATTCTGATCTTTGTAAGTAAGTTAGCAAGAACTTTTGATTGATTTGATCTTATACTTAAATCTGGCAAGTAGAGCTTCATTCTTAAATGTTCACATGTTTAGTAAAAGTATTGGATTAGCAACGCCTATGTGTTACTAGAAAAGCTGTAGCCACAGTACCTAGTATCCATCATTATTATTGTATTATAGTATTGGTAATACTGACTCCACATAAAGGGAGTGAGGGTGAGTCAGAAAGAGGGAGCACCCACACCTATTATGTGTCATCCCATCCCCACCCCCAGCCAGGTTCAAGTTGGTTGAATGGTGGTGGCCAAGTTATGTCAAAGCTCAAGAGCCATATTAAATTCTACCACCAGTTCTTTTAGTACCAATACAATGATGACCAGACTTTGGTTCAGGAACCAATACTCGAAAATGCTATAGTTTTTCAATGTTACCAAACTACAGCACTGCTCTACTATTAGAAATACATCTGGATATCACAATACTCTTTGTCAGTTTACTGCTCTTTTTTGATTATTCCAGTTGCAAACATGGCTGATTTAGAGAAGATAAGCAACCATGCAAGCATACATCACCTTATCCCCATTCCCTAGAATTGCTAGGCCTATATAAAAGAAGGTTAATAAAGGAAAATTTTAACTGGATAGGGTATTTGATGCCTCTGAAAAATTGGGCCTTTGAAGCACAGGAAGGAAAGGAGGGGGAAGTATTGATTATCTAAATTCAAGTTCACCTCTTTACTCAATTCCTTCTATACCTGATAGAAACTGAAGGACATGGCCAAGGCACAATGGAAGACAGAGAACCCTTATGAAGAGATTAGGGCCTGCATTCTGGATGAGATGCTTTCACTGCTTGGGGATGTGCTTACAAGTGTTCACAGCATTCCACTCAATGAAGTCGTCTACTTCCATGATCTATCCAGAGTGAAACCAGGACTGGCTGGTTATCCCCGAGCAGCCCTTCATCATGCCTTAGCTGACCCTCACTCCTACCTCCATGTGAGTGCCTTTCAGTAGGGTTCTCAGTCTGACTGAGAAAACCTGAATAAGTTAGAAAATGCTTTTGGGGTTTTAAAGGTAAGGGGAAAAAAAAAATTCATTACTGAAGAAAGAAGTGAAGGGTGTCAATGATAGAGAAAATTTGTTAGTCATGCATTACATGCAATTTTCATTCAAGATATTTCAGTTTCTGGTAATAGTATAGTATGTGTCCACTTGAGGAATACTGTCAACTCAGCCAATTTAGTCATGATCATCTCTCAGGGGCATACACAGGAAGAGTAGTATGTTAGAAAATTTAGAATAATAATGTAATAAGAGGGCGAAGACACACCATAAACGTTAGACATACGTTCATGAATCTCATTAGGTGCTTTCCCTTCTTTGGTGAGGAATTTGATCACTGAACGATGTTCGACTTTTGTCAAATCCATGACACAGACTGAGGAAAAGAAATCTAATGCGCTACCACTTTGAACGGACTTTATCAACAAGGTTTACTATAAATTGCCCTAAACAAGTACACCTTTCTAGCATTTGAAGCAATTCCCATTTGAGTCTGAATTCAAATCATTATCATGAAAAAAATTCTAAAGAACATTCTTTCTATCCAAAAGTTCAAATGATGTCACAAAGAAGTTCTCCCTATTTAAACAGCTTTCTCAGTACCCATTTCACACCTCAGTTAGTTCTTCAATGTGACATTGATATCACACTTGGCCTAGTATTGGTGGAGAGGGCTTTATGCTGAAACCCCGTTCTGGGACATCCTTGCTGAGATCAGATGACAGTACCCAGTCTGATGATCCATCCTGGACTTGAAAACCTTGTTCAGTGCTTTTGATGCTTCTGAGTTCTTCATTGCATTTTTTTTTTTGCACAGTAATTGTGGGCCTAAGTGGACAGTCTTGACCAGGTGGAACATACTATACTGATGGCAGGGACATACACTTGTCAGGGGCTTGGCCCCTGACAACACCTCCCCCCCCCCCAGTTCTTCAGCCTCATTGCAACCACCACCCCTCCCCCCTCATCCTGTGTATGCCCCTAAGAGATGGTCATGCCTAAATTGACAAAGTTGACTGTATTCCTTAAGTGGACACATACTAAACTATTACCCTGTATCAAGCTATAAGCTGAAAACCTAGGATAGTCAGAAAAATTTAGAAATTAATTCTGAATGCATGGGAGCATCACTGATGAGCAGCTAGGGGAGAAGGAATGGAATGTCTTCTCTAAGCACAACCCCTTAAAAAAGTAATGTATGTACAGGGTGTCCCATAAATCACTATACCATTTCAAAAAATCATTTCAACCTAACAATTGGCACAAAAAAGATGTAACATTAACTGAATGATAGCATGTCATTTGAAATTATCTTTGTCAAAAATTGAGATATTTCTGAGTTTTGAAAGTGCCTCAAAATGCCCTCAGCTTATACCAATGCATCTGGCATGAGGCTCAGCACCCAAAAATTGTGGAATCTCCCTTTGAACTCTGATGGGACTCTCATAGACCTCCATCCAGGTGGCAACTTTTCTTTGTTGCTCCAGTGTCAATTGCAAAGCCTTTCTCATGACATTGAAAACAAATTAAATAAAATATTTGTTTCTCTGGTCTATCTGAAATTAGAAGGGAAAAGCATCAAGTTTAGCAATTTTGTAGCAGTGGAATTAACAAGGTTTACTATAAATTGCCATAAACAAGTACACCTTTCTAGCATTTGAAGCAATTCCCATTTGAGTCTGAATTCAAATCATTATCATGAAAAAAATTCTAAAGAACATTCTTTCTATCCATGCTAACAACAACGATCTGCTTGTTGCAGTTTGAAATGGTATAGTGACTTATGAAACACCCTGTATATGATGTGTCAGACATCAATGCAAAATTCAGCTGTCTGTCATGAACTGGTGTTACATGACTTATAAAATGTGCTTTTTTGTTTTGCAGTGTACATGTTGTCCAGTGAGTGACAAGTCTTCTATCCTGTCACCTATGCCAGATATCTGCATTGCATACAAACTCCATCTGGAGTGTGGGAAAATGATAAATCTTTGTGACTGGATGGCCAGCTTCTCCTCAGTTCTTGATTCCACAGATCTTTCACCTGCTGCCATTCGGTATCCTTTTTTTTTTTTTCCCTTTCTTGAACAAACTGGAAAAGGCATACCTGTAATATACAGGGTAAGTATAGGTTTCTTGGCATGTTCAGATGGCTGTAACATGCAAACTATGTATCATAGAGCTGTAATATTTGGTGAGAACACAAATGAAACCATGGGGAATAGTAATGTAGGATCAACAGAAATGACCACCAGGAGGTGCTACAATTGTTCAATGTGACTTCCATACATATCTATGATTGCTTGCATTAAAAAAATGTGATGGACAACTGATCAGTTCTGTACTACATCCAACATAGCCACATCGTGGCAAATGGCATGTTTGAGGTCTGTTAAGGTGGCAGGTGTCACTTGATGTGCAACATACTTATATCCCCAAAGTCAAAAGTCTGCTGGGATAAGGAATTGCAATTTTTTATTTCACTGCAATCCTCTTCTCTGTGGTCTCATTCATTTCCCTCCAAACATAGCTCTGCAATGTTAAGTTTGCATGATATAGCAGTCAGAACATGCCAAGAAACTTTATACTAACTCTATATATTAGATTTTGAAGAACTGTAAGTACGAGGGCTGGTCAAAGAGTTCCCAGAAATAGTGACTTCTTATTGTCATATCCCCACGATTTTTTCACTGTGTATTCTTGTGTATCTTAGTAGTTCTCCCCTTTAATTTCAGATCCCTGCATGAAAACGGAGACTCGCAAGTGCACACGAAGTGAAACAAGTCAGAGGGTCTTGCCACCCTTGACGAGCCGTGACAAACGCATGGCAATTTTGGTGCAGTTTCGGCTGGGAAATTCGGTGGCACAGTGTTTCGAAACCCTTCAAAAGGCACTTGTGGACCAAGCTCCATCCCAGAGCACTGTCTATGAGTGGTTTGCGTGCTTTCGATCTGGCTCCTTCAGCCTTGACGACAATCCCCATGAAGGTGGTCCAAATTTCAGTCACTCCAGAAAACATTGCCAGCATGAAGCGACTCATAGACAAAGACCGGTGGATAACCACCAGGGAGCTAGAGAAGCTCGTTGGCATGTCACATGGCTCAGTCATTAAGATCCTGCATGAACACCTTGGGATGAGGAAGGTCTGTGCTCGTTGGGTTCCGCACCAGCTGAAACCGGATCACATGAAATCTCATGTGGACTTCTGTGGGTTCATGCTTCAGAAATTCAACAGTGGAGCCTCTGAAGCTGTGGGGAAACATCCTCACAGGTGATGAAACCTGAATCTACTTCTACTTTCCATTGTTTGCTCTGGTTCTTCGTCTCTGGGCCGAAACTGCACCAAAATTGCCCCACGTTTGTCACCGCTCGTTAAGGGTGGCAAGATCCTCTGACTCGTTTCACTTTGTGCGCACTTGCGAGTCTCCATTTTAACACAAGGATTTGAAATTAAAAGGGAGAACTACTAAGATACATAAGAAGACACAGAGAAAAAATTGTGGGGATCTGACAATAAGAAGTCACTTTTTCCGGGAACTCTTTGACCAGCCCTCGTACATGTGTCATATGAAGCAAAATTCAGCTAAGGGTGAATCAGGGCAAACTAAAATAATTTCCAGGACACGAGAGCAAAAATTTTCATCCCAAAACTTGTCATTTCCAGCTATCCAAATTTCTTTGCGATCTTCTCTTGGATCAAAGTTCTGTATAGTTGAGCTCCATAAACCTTAAAATCATATATTATGGTATTGGAAGTAATCAACTGGACCAAGTGTCCCACTCTCAACTGCAAGTTTGAAGTACACCTGATGCACTTAGAAATCACACAGCTTAATGCCTCTTGTTTCTTACATTCCCCAATGCATATACATATGGACAATTGCTCTGCATCTTGTGCATGTTTTGAAATACTGCACCAAAGCTGTTATGGGTGGGAGAGCTTCATCAAGACATTCTGGCTACAAATCATGATGTAGATTTACATACAAACCAATATTCATTGTTGAAGCTTTTTTTTTATGACAACCATTCCTCAAAATAATAGTAAATTAGAAATAATCACCAGTCTCAATACTTTACTATAATTCATATATAAATTTTTTTTAATGAATACAAGGAATTGAATCAATCTCTATTCCTATGCCCTCCTATTCACCCTCATTTACTTCAAAAGAACAAAACTTGAAATTAGCCCAATGATTTTGTAGACATGGCCATTTGAACATTTTTGTCAAGAAATTTACATACACAATCACATGGCAAGTCTCCAGATCTCTAGTTTTGTGGTCATTTTCAATAAATATCATTTAAAGTTATTCAAAAGGGCAGTTCGGTTTCAGTTCAGTTCCAGTTACAGTTGGATTTTTCGTTCAAGAATAGTCTAAATGTGCCATTTGAACCTTAGTCAGACTGCAGCTGCAAGAGTCTGTGTTGACTCCCCATCCAATCATAGTCAGACTTTAGTCTGACCTGAGTGTGACTATGGTTCCAACCAATTACTATGTCTGAAGCCTCTCTTCCCTCGTGGCGCCTGGAGAACTCAAGTCAGACCTACCATGAGGCAACTGTCTCAATGGGAAGGGCAAGATAATAAATATATATGTCTTGATTTCTTCTTCCTCTGTTTGAGTTGAAGTTGGTGCTGCTTGCTTTTCCTCATCATGTCACAGTGGAACGAGGACATTGCTTGCATTTGCCATTTGCAAACCGTGGCTATGAAGCACCCCACATGCGATTATGTCCTAAGGCAGCGACATATGCAGTGGAACACATACCCAATGACGAACTGAATCATAAATATGACACTGATTTGTGGCTGGCATCGAACCGTTTCAATTCATTTATATCAATAATGTACAAGGAAGTTAAGAATGGGTCAACGAGAAGTTGGACTACAACTGACAGCAGCTGAACAGAAAAGAAACTGAAGTGAGTGGCAACTGCAGTCTTACCATAGTCCAACTACAGTCAAACAGGAACTGGAGAATGATTTCAAAATCTCAGTCTGTTCAAAGTCCAGTTGTAGTTCCAGTCGACTGCAACTGCAACCAAACTGGGACCATCTTAGGACTATAGTTCAACTGCAACTGAACTGTGGCTTTGAAATCAACCTATAAATGAGCATTCTGCTGATAAATCCTCTAATGTTTTTACCTAGCCATTCATTGAGAGTAGCTACTAAACTGAAGATTGGAGACTGGCAGCTTTTGCACAAAATTGCTATAGAATATGCCTTCATCAGTGTGTTAACCTACCTTGCTGAGTACAAGTTGAATATCTTTCCTCACTTGAAGGGTTGCCATTTTGACAATCTGAAGGTGTTAGAAGTCATGTTCTAGCATTCAAAATGATAGTGTGTCTAAATGAGTATATTATCACACAAGTGTGGCTTGATGCTGACTGGTTAGCTGTTATGTGGGATATACAGAGTGATCCAAAAGTCACTTGACACTCTTGCTATTCTATTTCTATGTACTTTTAACTCATTTCTATTTATTTATTTCAGATATATCATGGGTATACATCGCAAAAATCTTGTTAGTAAAAATGTTCTTTTCAGCACTTCAAAATGCAAAATGACTTTTGGACCACCCCATATTTTAGTTTGGTTTTTTGGAAATCAGCAGTCAACTGCTACATTTCAATTTTGAGTGTTCAACACCTTTTAGCAATTCTAGTCTGGTCTGAATAGAATCTCAGATTAAACTTATTTCAAAGGTAGCTTCTGCTGAAAATAATGGCATATTAGGCAATAAATATTGATATTATTTTCTTGCACATATTGTTAACTTTGGCAACAGCAGACAAATAACCATTTTGAAAAAGTTATTTTTCATCCAAGTGATAAGGATCTATGTTTTAATTATCTTTATAGTAATTTTATTAAGGGAAATTCCTCTGATCATAGGGGTTCAGTGCCTTCTGAAATTGAGCATAATATAAAGGTCACTCTTAAAGTAATGCCAGTTAATTTTTTTTGGTTTACCTTTGGACAGAATAGCTGCAAACTTTTAAGGTGAGTTGCCTAGTGTTTTCTGAAGGTCTGACAAATTTTTGACAGTTCCCATAGCAATCAAGTCACTTTCGCCAGCGTTTCATGAAGGCTTGTGTGCCATAGCAGTAAAATTCCTTGCCAACATGTTGAAGCCATTTTTTACAGCCTCATCAACTTCATTATCAACATTAGAGTATCCAAGGGTGTTGATTTGCTGAAGGGTATTTTGACCAATGCCAATAGTTTCATATCTCCCTGGTTGTGACACGCCTGTCATTTTGGAAGAGTTCATCAACCATGGTGGTCTCATCTGTGCTTGAAATCACAGGACTGTGATTTCAAGTGCTGCTTGTCTTTGGCCTCATTTTCTCCCAACTTAAAGCAACTCACCCATTGCCTGACTGTGCTCTTGTCCTTGCAGGACTCTCCATAGACTGGCTCAAATCTTTGCTGAAAATTTGCTTGTGTCATACCCTCCACATTCAGGAATTCAATCGCTGCCCACTGCTTCTGACATGATTTCAGCACAGCTACCATTCTGAACGTGTGCCCAGCAAGGGCACCAATCTGAGCTCTAGCACGTCACAATGAGGGAGATAGACTATTGGCATTGGTCGAAATACTTTTCAGAAAATTGACATCCTCAGACACTCTAATGTTAATATTGAAGTCGATGAGGCTGTCAAAAATGGCTTTGAAATGTCGGCAAGGAATTTTACTGCTATGGCACACAAGCCTTCATGAAACGCTGGCAAAAGTGACTTGATTGCTATGGGAACTGTCAAAAAATTGTCAGACCTTAAAAAAAAAAAAACACTAGACAACTCGTCTTAAAAGTTTGGAGCTATTCTGTCCAAAGGTAAACCAGAAAAAAATTAATGGGCCTCCATCCCCCCCCCCTCCCAAAAGAAAATAAAATTCCAAACATGCAAGCTGAAAGGAAATAATACATGATAAAAGAACTGCTTCAGCCTTCTGAAGAGACTGATGCCATTCATCTGCCTAGTTAGCATCATGCCACTCTTAATAAGAAATGAATTGATCTTGATGCACTGTCATTTTTAATGTGAGTGTTTGATCTTCAAAAATTCATAAGCCTAAGCCAAAGAGACCAGGTTTGAAAAGTATTTGAGGGAACATGGAAAGAGGAGTCATTGGTATTTCTTTTTATGACAATTAGATCAGGCCAGAGAAACGGCTACATGCTTTTTGTGATTTTGCCATGTTCAAAGTGCAACTTCCTTTTACCCCAGAAAACCAGAAAAAAAGTATTCCCCCTCCACAGAGAGGTGGAAAGCATAGTTCCAGCTTGACAGGAGTAAATATGGTTTCTCTAACCATGCATCTGCAGCAGCCGATGAAAAGTGTTTCTTTTTGCAAAGTAATGGCTATGTTCGGAGAGCCTAACATCGCTTCTTTTCTGGTATAAAGTTAAATATGTATTACTTTCTTGGGCTCCACTTTTAATGAGAGCATGAAGCGCCATCTTCATAACTTTTCCATCTATGAGCATTTCAATAAACCCTACTTTTTGCAGAATAAATGCAGTTCTCAAAATAAAAAATATAAAATAAATCTGCAACATATATTTGACATCAGAAAATTTAGCAAAAATTCACAGCGACTCCTACTATAAAGACCTATCACCACAAGAGTCAAGAAAATAATCAGAGTGTGGACTTTTCTCCATTGAGTAATATGGATGGAAAATTGCATCTGTAAAAATGCAATTTTGGGGAAATGTTTATTATGGGTTTACTATGGATTTCCTGAGATATTTCCTTATTGTATGGTTTGCAGAGCTCGTTTCCTGGAGGCAGCCAACGAACTTAACCACCTTGGTTTCATCAAGTCTACTCGACGGAAGACTGATCATGTCCTCCGTCTCACTTGGTCTATGGTTTAATGTTTATTCATCCATGCAATCATTCACACCCTGGAATTATAATATTGCTGCTTGTTGCTGCCCTTTCATGCATTTTCATTTTTATCATCAAACATAATGAATATGGCTCTAAGTTAGGGCATGAACTGTACACACCACGAAATATAATAACTCACCTACTGAGAGTGCTTCGATAGCACTATGTTGATAAAACGGGTTATTTGATCTCATGCAAGGAGGTTAACATGCACTCCTTCAATCATGCGAATAATAAAGAAAGGGTCTTGAATATGGAACAATTATGAGAAAGAGTATTTTTAAAAATAAGACACAACTCTAACGATATTGTCATTCATAATCCACATGCTATAAAAAATGCTTGATGTTCAAGAAGT